CAGTGTCCTCATCTATAAAATGGAACAACAGGGATCCCAGGGTGGCTCAGTGGTTTAGCACTTGCCTTCAGCCCAGGGCGTGATCCTGGAGACCTGGGATCGAGTTCCATGTTGGGCTCCCTGCGTGGAGCCTGCTTCTCCCTCTGCCTGTGTCTCTGCCATTCTCTCTGCGTCTCTCATGAATAAATAAATAAAATCTTAAAAAAAAATAAAATGGAACAATAATAGTAACTACCTTATGCAGTTGTATGAAGATTAAATGAATTCACATACATAGAAAAACAGCCTAGCACATAGGCTGTACATCAGTGTTAGCTATCAGCATCCTTTGCCACTATTGGGTCAGTACCTGGTAGAGTGCCCAGCATGAAGTAGGGTCTCAGTAAACACTAACTGAATGATTGAATTTCCATCAGGCTACTATCGTAAGGTTTTGATCTTTTTCTTTCCAACAGTTTTGCCATCTTGAAGCAATGACAATAATCTCTAAAAGCATGCGAAATAATTACAACAGTAACCAGTCAATTTATAAAGTGATTTTCCTGGTTTTTAAAGATACAGAACACCAAGTTAATGAAGTATCTACTTGCTTCTAGCTTCTGAGTCTTTTAAATATTACACAGTGACTTTGCAAGATCTACAAAGTAATCTTCTGATGTTCATTATTCATTCTGTTGACATGATGAATATATTTGGAGTTCTGTGATCCGCTAGTCTTGTATTTTGGGAAGTAAGTTCTACTTAGCCATGGTGTAGTTTGGAACACTGGGTTTAGATGAAGACAAACCTGACTTTAAACACTGGTTTACCCTTTAGTAACCATGTAACTTTGGCTGTGACTTTTCTGAGCTTTGGGTTCCTTACCTAAAAATGGAAATGTTAGTAGAATACCTACTTCACAGTGTTATAAGAAAATAAGTTAAAGAACTAGGTAAATCACTCAGTAGAGTAATTGGCACTAATGATATATCAGGATAATTATTATTGTTCAGTTCTTTGCTGGAATTTTATTTAAGAATTTTGTAACTACATTCAAAACTGAAACTGGCTTCTAATGGAATTTTTAAGGAATTTTCCTTGTCAGTGTTAAGAATAGCACCTACTTAACTCACAGAATTAATGTGGGATCATGCCATAGTCCTCATTTTTCTAAAAAGAACTTTAATTTTTTATTACATATTGTAGAAAAGGTAGGATATACAGAGAATCAAAGTCATGAATATTAAAATTATCTGTAATCTCACTTCCCCAAAAGCAGCATTGTTGGCATTAGACTCTATGTTCTTCCAGACATTTTTTTAATTTAAATTCAATTTGCCAACATATATAGTATAACACCCAGTTCCCGTCACATCACATACCCTCCTTTATGCCCATCACCCAGTTACCTCTTCAGATACTTTAAATGCATAAATGCATACACATACATACCCACATATAATGCTGATAAAAAGTTGGGATCAAACCGTACATAAAATTTCATTGCATTCACCAATATATTACGAACACTTTTCACCTTAATAATACTCCCAAAACATCATTTTTCATGGTGCCATTCCAAGATATAGACCTATCCATAAGTTGTTCAGCAAATCAGCAAATTCCCTAATGCTGGACAACTAGGTGATTTCCTTTACAGGTAGTGCTGCATTCAGACATTGGGCTAGATATATATATATATATATATATATATATATATATATATATATATTAAAGATTTTATTTATTCATTCATGAGAGACACACACAGAGAGATAAGCAGGCTCCACGCAGGGAGCCCGATGCGCGATTCGATCCGGGAACTCCAGGATCATGCCCTGAACCAAAGACAGACGCCCAACCACTGAGCCACCTGGGCATCCCTGGGCTAGATGTTTTTTTTTTAAAGATTTTATTTATTTATTCATGAGAGAGGGAGAGAGAGAGAGAGAGAGAGGCAGAGGAGACACAGGCAGAGGGAGAAGCAGGCTCCAAGCAGTGAGCCTGACGTGGGATTTGATCCTGGGTCTCCAGGATCACGCCCTGGGCTGAAGGCAGGCGCTTAACCGCTGAGCCACCCAGGGATCCCTGGGCTAGATATTTTTATTAGCCTGCAGTTCATCCTTTACCTTTCTCCACCATACTGTTTGCTTTGCTGATCCTTGCAAGACTGCCTCATCAGGCTCCTTCCGTCTTTGGCTTCTGGTGCATTTGTCCAAATGGGGGGGGATAGGGGTGGGGAACATCTGCAAGAAATCTGATCATGGTAAAAAGGAAGGCAAGGGTATTTGTTCCCCCAGCTCTTACCCTGAAAAGACTACTGGTTGGCTGTGTCCTTGAACATAAGACCTTGAATGCATCTGGTGGGAGGTTCTCTCACATGGCTACTCTCCCTGGGCTCCTGTAACCTCACCCCCCTACCTTATGCCTTCATGCTTAGGGTGATACGGTGTCCCCATCACTGCTAGCCTGGGGTACACCACCAACCTTTGTCCGTTCTCTTATTCCTGCTCACCTCTTCATAGAAAGTCCTTCATTAAATTCCCCATTTATCCAGTTTAAGTATACCATCTGCTTCTTGCCAGGACCTGAGCAAATACACACAACTTTGTAAGTAGATTCCTCTATACATCTTTGATTATTATCATATGATAAATGTCTCAGCTGGAACTATTTATCTAAGAGCATGCATATTTTTAAGACCTTTTATGATATTGCCAACCTGTCTTCCAGTATACCTTTCCTCCAGCAGGGCAGGAGAGCATCCACCCTCAGGCCCTGGTTCAACTGGATATTTTAACTTCATTTTGTCTTCTGCTATGTTCATAAGCACTCCTATACTATAGAGATCATCTCATCTATGAAATTCTGTGCTGGGGGGAGATTACCTAAGTAATCATCGCAGTCTCTTTGTTTTAGTTTTCCCTGCATCTTTCTTGGTGTTTTCTTCTACTATTGACTTTTACAAATCGACGTGTTTGGTCTTCTTTTTAATATTTTATTTATTCATGAGAGACACAGAGAGAGACAGAGAGGCAGAGATACAGGCAGAGGGAGAAGCAGGCTCCATGCAGGGAGCCCAATGTGGGACTCGATCCCGGGACTCCAGGATCATGCCCTGGGCTGAAGGTAGGCGTGCAACCGCTGAGCCACCCAGGCTTCCCACAAATTGACATGTTAACCCATATTTGGCCTGTAAGAATTCATTAAAAATATACCTGATTTCATCCTACCCGTTTGTAAGGGGAACATCTCACCCCCATGCTCTATCAAAGCTGAAATCATTTTTATGTTACATCTCTCTGTTCAGAACCTTGTCATTTTTTGGATTTCAGTGAACTTGATTTATGACGGTCTCTTATGGGCTCGAGGAAAGTTACAATTTTGTAGGTTATCTGGTTGTTCTTGTGACTTTATACATCCAGAGCTGAAGCCTAACTCCCCCTTTAATTTTTTGAAAATTTAATTAAATCAAGAATATTTTTGAGGGTAGCCCAGGTGGCTCAGCGGTTCAGTGCCACCTTCAGCCCAGGGCATGATCCTGGAGACCCGGGAGTGAGTCCCACGTCAGGCTCCCTGCATGGAGCCTGCTTCTCCCTCTGCCTGTGTTTATGCCTCCCTCTCTCTGTGTCTCTCATGAATAAATAAATAAAATCTTTAAAAAAAAAAAGAATATTTTTGAAAAGACATAAAACCATATATCCAGTACCACATTTGATATGCATACACTTGCCAATGGAGGAACTAAATCTTGCCTTTCACGTTACATGGAAAACGGCTTATATAAATATTGAAGAGTAATATGAGTTGTTTCATAGTGCAAAAATGGTCCCCCGCTGTCATGTGTACCTGTAGCAAATACTATACAATTTGCAGGTACCCTCAGAGCTACCAATTAGAAGACAAAAAAAGAGGGAAAATGGACACCAGAAACTACTGGGAAAGACATTTTATTTGGTAAAAATCTATCATGTCCAAACTCTCGGAAAGGCAGGCCTAGACAAGTGAATTTGTTTTTGCTTACCCAAATGTTTCTATCACAGTAACCCCCCACAAAGTCCAAAAGTCTATCTGTTTCCAGTGATGACAGTGGTTCAACCCACAGATCTGCCCAGTGTTCAGAAGCAATCATGTTTTGCATTGAGGATGTAGGAGTAAGCATTTCCCTGGGGCTTGACTGGCATAAATCATAAACAGAGAAAGCCTTCTAAAGCAGAGGCCCAAGGCAGGGTCCCCTCTTGCCTAGGTCAGGGCAGTACTGATTTAACTCACTTCTGTTTTGATGACTAAGCAAGGTAGTCTATCTAAAGAACTCAGAAAAGTACTATACAATGGTATTATGGGGATTACTACTTCCTTCTGAATACAATTCCTGTAGACTCCCCAATTTCCACAATGATATGTCATCGTATTTTCCAAAAAATGTTTTGGACAAAATTTCCTACATAAGAATAGAGAAATTCAAGAATACAGTAATATATTACTTTAAAAATAATAATCAGGGCAGCCCTGGTGGCACAGCGGTTTAGCGCTGCCTGCAGCCCGGGGTGTGATCCTGGAGACCTGGGATTGAGTCCCACATGGAGCCTGCTTCTTCCTCTGCCTGTGTCTCTGCCTCTCTCTCTGAATAAATAAGTAAATAAACAAATATTTAAAAAATAAAAAATAAATAAAAATAATAATCAATGTGAGGTGATGGATGCACTAAATTTATTGTAATAATCATCTGACCATGATATACGTGTATGAAATCATCACCTAGTACGCCTTAAACTTATAAAATGCTCTATGTCAATAATACCTTAATAAAGCTGGAAAAAAATTGTTGAAAAATGACATTATAAATCCATCTGCAGAACTCAAAACAGCACTTAGAATAAAATGTATACTTTGAGCATATAGCACTAAAAATAAAAAGGAAATGACTACATACACATATAAAATATAAATGAATTTTATTTATGAATGTATAGATGCATATAATTATAATAAAAATAACCAAATAGGGAAAACCAATACATTGAAAGAGCATATGCCATAATCAAGGAGAGTTACTCAAAATTTAAGAATGTGTTAATATAGTAACGCCAGTAATATAATATTGATTTAAATGATAAAAATTATGTGATTATACAAAAGATACCAATTCTTACTAAAAGCTTCTAACAATAAATGTAATTTCCTGTATTAGAGAACATTTGTTTAAAACAATAATTAACTTCATATTTAATGATGAAATATCAAAAAATATATTTTCTAGCCACAATTTTATTTAACACAAAACAAATACATAAGACAGATCTTTTTGTAGCCATTATTTTATATTTAGAAGGAAAAAAGGCCATCTAACATTGTTAGAACAAAGATAATTCAACAAAAGTCAAATATTTTAAAAACCAATAGCATTCTAGAGATTCCCATACTGAGTAGCAATACAGATGTCTTTAGCTAAGAAAAAAAGATCAATGTAATGAGGTATATATATATATATATATAAAGAACAAATTTATAATGAAAGAAACCAAGGGACCCATTAGCAATGAAGAGCCTTAATTTTTTGACAGAAAGATTAGTATCATAAGTCTTAAACAATTAATTTTAGCCCTAGATGATTCAAATTGAAGCACCAAAAAAATATTTACCTTAAATAACATATTCCTTAAGGGAAAAAGACTTCTTGAAAATGAAAAATATATTATGTGGGGAGAAAAAAGAACAATAAAGACCAATATGATACTGATGGATTCACAACACAATTTGATTCATTATATGGCAAAAAAAATGTCCAAAAGAAGAAATAATGGTTTTGCTTTTGCTCAAAGTTAGGGAAGAAAAGTAGAAAGCAGGGCAAAGTAAGTGCTATGCTAGAACTTTGAGAATGCTAAGTGAACCGCCTTTCATGGGGTCAGAAAAGACTAATCTAGCATTTTAAAGAATCTGATTTTGCCAGATTTTGAGGCAGGAAGAGGGAGAGAGTGGCACTTAATGGGAACGTCATTTATAAACACAGAGAGTCATAAAATAAAACAGCACATTCCAAAAATTGCAAGTAGTTCAGGACATACACTATTATTGTTCTGCATTTCTAAAACTCAATCTAAGCCAGTATTTCAAAATCTGAAAATGTATCATAAAATCTGGATCGAGCTTCTTTCAACTGATTGGACACCATGACAAAATGGGCCCACATCCCCACATGGGCACAAGAGGCAGGAGGGACCCCCAGAGCTACCGATTTAAGTAGCTGGTGGGACAACTTGCTAGGACACTTCCTCTTTCCCCCCATTTCTCTTATATCCAGCTCACATCATCCACTTAGCTCACCTTTCTCCATCTAAGAAGGCATCTGAGTTTATGACTCCTACATTGCATAACGGGGACCAATGAAGTTATGGCAAAACAAAGCAATGTGATTATGTCTGCATTTCAAAAGATTGGCCAGGCACAGGGGGGGGGGTAAGGAGATCAATGAAATCCGTAAAAGCCTATTTTATAAAAAAAGATCTTTTTAATGGGACTGTCGTCACTGAAGGAGAGCAGGGGGCCACCTAGCACCTGCTATAAAAATACTCTCATGAGACATGACTGGGAAGCCGCTGAATCCACCATCTGTGCAATAATGCAAGAGGTGCTGAGGGTTAGAAAGAGGGCAGTGTGTCAGGGATGTAAAGAAAGAGGCAGAAAAGGATCAAAATTTGAGATGTTAGAAGGGAAATTAATCTCCAACATTGGGTCACCAGTTTGACATCAGGAACCGGCGAAAGAAGAGTATGGGGCAATTTGCAGGGCTTTGGTTTAAGTCAGTAGGTGGTAACACACCAAAATAAAGAAACCAAAGGCAAAATGAGTCTGTAGGAAAGTTAATCATTTAACTTAGGATATGCTGGATCTGTGGAGTCTATCGATGTGCCGCTTCACCTCAGAAGCCTTGATAGATGACCAAGGAAAATTCATCCCCAATTTTAATGTGATAACTTTCCCACAGCTGTATCATGAGATGAAAATGAGGGTCAAGTAGGATTATATAAAATATTTTTACAGAATGAATACTAACGGAACTAAGCTTTATTTGGAATATTATAGAATTGAATAAAATATTGTAACAAAGATTACAGAGTCATTTTTTATGCGTATATAAGCATATCTCAGAAAGACACAATACTGAAAAAGTCCACCAAGTCTCTTCATGTATAGGATATACATTTATACCCTACATTGCTTCTGTTAAGAATTAAAGATGGCTTATAGCAAAAATACACATAGTAAAAGGATAAAATGAAAATAATAATAAAATGTAAAAATAATTCTTTTTTTTTTAATTTTTATTTATTTATGATAGTCACACACAGAGAGAGAGAGAGAGAGAGAGAGAGAGAGGCAGAGACATAGGCAGAGGGAGAAGCAGGCTCCATGCACCAGGAGCCCGATGTGGGACTCGATCCCGGGTCGCCAGGATCGCGCCCTGGGCCAAAGGCAGGCGCTAAATCACTGCGCCACCCAGGGATCCCGTAAAAATAATTCTTAAAAAAATTAGCACCAGGAGATATCAGAACAAGGAAAAAGAAAACAAGTTATGCAGAACATAAGGGTTTTCAGAAAGACAACCACTTTGGACAAACAAAGTGAAAAGATTCACTGAAGCTGCAGGGCTCTTACTGTCCATTAGGAGAAAACACAGCGATTTCTCACTTTGAAAAGGATATTAAAAAAAAAAAAAAAAAAAGGATATTTTTGCACACCTCCCCCAGTAGAAAAGACAGTGTTTCATGATAAAACATTGTTCTAAACTAAAGTAATTCAGCTTTATGAAAAACTCACTACCTTGTCCCTCTTTCCCAAATGTGCTCTTGCAGCAAAGTTAAAATTAAAAAAAACAAAAACAAAAAACACAACACTTTACACACCAACATTTGGGGATATCACAACAGCAAACGCAGAAAAAGATTTCATCACACTGCTTCTCTGTGGGACTCTGATGAAAACAAAGAACCAAACATCTAAGTGTAACTGGATGAAGGAAGCCATGTGGTGGGGACAGGGAGAGGAAACCTGAAATGGGCAAGGTATATAGGTTTCTGAGGGTCCCTCTCGATCCACAGAAAGAATGGAGACGACTTTGAGGAATGGATGAGGAATGGATGAACGATACTAGAGCGATGGGGCTTTGGTGAAAAACTGAGTAAGACATGCAGAGTAGACACAGTGAGGTAGAAATCTTTGGTGAGCACGCAAAAGTTAGAAACTCTGTGGTGCTGGCTGAGGATGGATCCAGAGGATGGATCCACGAGAGCTGGATATCACGTGAGCATGGTACAACTGGTATCCTTTTATGAAAATTAAGGAACCTATTTAAAGGCCATCCCACATCAGCACAGAGGAGGCCCCAGGATTTGAAGGGCAGGCACAAACTGCACACAGAAAAAGACATACAGAAAGCACGCACACAGAAAAACATTCACTTGCACATATTTAAGGAAATGCGAATCAAAAGACGTTATCGTTTAGCACCGACGGGCTAGGCAAAGGAATACATTTTAAAATTCAATATCATGAGGATTTTAAGAAAAGAGTTCTGTTCAAAATTTGTTAGAAAGAATTGAAACATCCCAGAATGAGGGAAGTCATTAAGTAAATGATTATATATTAGTGTATCTGTGCATAAAAAGGATTATCTGTGATAAAATGTGGACAGGGAAAGATGCTTATGAAACATTAAGAAAAAGCAAGAGTACAAAGTGTACATAGTCTCTGACTACCACTAGGTAAATCATATATGTGGGCGTCTAGAAAACCCCGGCTGGGTCACAGAGCAAGTCAGCAGAACCCTGCTCTTCAGAACTCCCACCAGCCTGGGAGAAGCTGCCAGGAACTACAGGCAGACTGTGCCATCTTCAGAGTTTGCCCTGGACTGAGCCCCAGCCACACTCACGTTCTCCCCTCACCACCGGCTCAGTGTCCAACCACGTCCCCAACCACCCATCCCCAGTGTTATCCTTCCAACCTGATGTTTTCCCCTTCTCCGTCTTCTTTAATTTTTACAACAACTTGTGAGGTAGGTAGTACAATGACCATTATTGAAAAGTGATTAAATGAATGAACTTACAAATCAAGCACAACAGAAGCTTTGTTTTCAGATCTTCCAATTGGACGAGCTTCATATTTCACGGACATTCTTTACGGTTTACCTGTGTGTGGCTTCTTGGCTGACTGAGCAGGGACAGAAGCCAGAGGACTGGCTTCTGCAGTGCCAGCTACATGTACTCCTTGTTTCTCAAGGCCCTGTGCATACTCAGCAGAAGAAGCTGAATTATCTAAAAAGAAGAGGAAAAAGATGAGCTTTCCTGAGACACCCCTTTTATTGCTCTCAATTTCATTTTATGTTGGGAGCATCAGCCCTGCTAATCAGATCTCAGACAAAAGTCCCAACACTATGGATTTGGAGAGTTTGTGTCTTCTGGATTTTACACACACACAGAGCAGGAAGTCTCTATTTCACAATTGGGAGAGACCCACTAAACAAGACCAGATGAAGGTAATGACAGGCCCTGTACAGTATAGAGCAGAAGATCCCTACCACCATTTAGGGTCCCCTAGATAGCCCCCGACACCACCTCCATACCACTCGTGCAGGAAGTCAGCCCCATCCCAACATAAGAAAACTCTGTATCGAAAGCTTGGAGACTCTGGCTTCACTGATTTGGTTTTCCCATAGACAATTCTCCTAAGCCTACCTCCCACTGAAACTGATTTTCAGCTATAAGCAAATTTAATAGGATAAGTAACCTGAATGCATTGTAATTAAAAGTACAGCAGACATGGGGATCCCTGGATGGCTTGGTGGTTTAGCGTCTGCCTTCGGTCCAAGGCATGGTCCTGGAGACCCAGGATTGAGTCCCACGTGGGGCTCCCTGCGTGGAGCCTGCCTCTCCCTCTACCTGTGTCTCTGCCTGTCCCTTTCTCTGTGTCTCTCAAGAATAAATAAATAAAATCTTAAAAAAAAAAAAAAGTTCTCATTTCAAGAAAAACTTTGTAACTATATATGATGATAGATATTAGCTCCACTTATTGTGATCACCTTGCAACATACACAAATATCGAATCATGTTGTACATCTGAAACTTCTATGGCATTATATGTTATTACCTCAAGAAAAATAAAGAAGAATGCACCTTAATTTAAGAAAAGAAAGCCATTCCTATATTTTCCTTCCCTTTCTCATCCACTGGCCCCCACCTCGCTCCTCTTTCTTCCTAACAAAGCTGTGGGGACAGTTGTACCTACTTCGTGGCCCCTAGCTTAGCAAACCCTTGGATAGATGCCATTAGCTGATAGCACTGAAAGTAAACTCTATCCCTCCCTTCTTTGGTTAGAACCACAATTTTACATCATATAATGTTGGTGGTTCTAAGTTTCCCCAAGGACAAAGTAAAACTTATCATATGGGGTGCCATCCCCCAGACTGACCTCCTGGTCAAAACTCTATGTGGTAGTGCTGTGTCTCCCTCTGATATTCTCACCTTGATTTTCTTTTTTTTTTTTAAATTTCTTCCTTCTTTTCTTTTTTCTTTTTTTTTTAATTTTATTATTTATTCATGAGAATACACAGAGAGGAGACAGAGAGAGAAGCGGAGGCACAGGTGGAATGAGAAGCAGGCTCCATGCAGGGAGCCCAACGTGGGACTAGACTCAATCCAGGGTCTCCAGTGTCACGCTCTGGGATGAAGGCAGGCGCTAAACCGCTGAGCCACCTGGGGTGGCTTTTCTTTTTTCTTTTCTTTTTCTTCTCTTTCTCTTTCTCTTTTTTTCCTTTTCTTCTCTTTCTCTTCTCTTCCTTCTTTCTGTTTCTTTCTTTTAATGACGTTATTTATTTATTTGACATAGAAAGAGCACAAGCAGGGGGAGGAGCAGAGGTCTAGAGAGGGAGACTCAAGCTTCCCACTGAGCAAGGAGCCTTGGTGTGGATCTTGGTCCCAGGACCCTGGGATCATGACCCAAGCCAAAGGCAGACACTTAAATGACTGAGCTACCCAGGTACCCACCCGCTCACCTTGATTTTCAAGCATCTTGTGCAGCTTCATGTGCTTGTAGGTGGAGATGATCTGAAAATTAATGACACTTGGAATATTCAGTCCTTGGTCCTGCAGCAGTGTCAGGGCTGAAGCATGAGTGAGTTGATGGGACCGTTTGCATTTCGGAAGTCTGCACTCCCCTCTGACGAAGGATTTGCACACATGGAACTTGTTGCATTTGTCCTTGAGGTTGCAGTAGCCATAGAGTGCTTCACCTTTGTTGTACAGTAAACAGACCTGGTCCAGAAATAAAGCAACACTTAACACATTTGTTTTCACTGTTTTTTAAGGCAATTGTAGAAAAAAAGTTTTTTTAACTTTTTATTTTTGAGTAATCTCTATACATCGCATGGGGCTCAAACTCATAACCCCAAGACCAGGAGTTGCATGCTCTACCCACTGAGCCAACCAGGTGCTCCAAGAAATAATTTTTTTATTTAAATATTTTACTTATTTGACAGAGACAGCGGGGAGTGGAGAGGCAGTCTTCTCACTGAGCAGGGAGCCTGATGCAGGGCTCGATCCCAGGGATCATGGGATCATGACCCCAACCGAAGGCAGACGCTTAACCAGTGTGAGCCACCCAGGCACCACAAGAAATAATTTTTGAAAAAGATGTATAATTGGGGATCCCTGGGGGGCGCAGCAGTTTGGTGCCTGCCTTTGGCCCAGGGCGCAATCCTGGAGACCCGGGATCGAATCCCACATCGGGCTCCCGGTGCATGGAGCCTGCTTTCTCCCTCTGCCTGTGTCTTGGCCTCTCTCTCTCGTGTGACTATCATAAATAAATAAAAATTAAAAAAAAAAAAGAAAGAAAAAGATGTGTAATTGGCACAATGACTTGTACCATTATATATTAAAATACAAACTACTTTAATTGAACAGTATGATACTGGTTTAAGAATGTGTAGGAAATAGGGGATCCCTGGGTGGCGCAGCGGTTTGGCGCCTGCCTTTGGCCCAGGGCGCGATCCTGGAGACCCGGGATCGAATCCCACTTCGGGCTCCCAGTGCATGGAGCCTGCTTCTCCCTCTGCCTATGTCTCTGCCTCCCTCTCTCATTCTGTGTGACTATCATAAATAAATAAAAATTTTAAAAAAAAGAATGTGTAGGAAATAAAAAAAAAAAAAAGAATGTGTAGGAAATCAAGAAAAAGAGATCCTAGACCTAGTTCCCCAATCAAAATAACCTATTCTTTAAGATTTGATAGAGCTCAACAAACTACATGAGCCCAATATTTTCTTATAGAAGACTTCTAAAATTCTTAAACTTTTTTATTGTAGCAAAAAATATATATATAAACATAAAATTTACCATTTAGCCATTTTACATTTGAGTGTGCAATTCAGAAGCATTAAGTACATACACATTGTTGTTCAACCATCACTATTCTTCTCTAGAACTTTTTCATCATTCCACACTGAAACTGTATCCATTAAAAAGTAGCTCTCTGGGTGGAGGGGATGGGGTGACTGGGTGACGGGCACTAAGAAAGGCACTTAATGGGTTGAGCACTGGGTGTTATATATGTTGGCAAATTGAATTTAAATTAAAAAAATAAAAAAATAAAAATAAATAAATAAAAAATAAAAAGTATTTCTCTATTCCCCTTCCCACATTTGCAAATATTTTTTATTTAAATTCAATTAATTAACATACAATGTATTACTGGTTTCAGAGGTAGAGTTCAGCAATTTATCAGTCTTATGTATCACCCAGTGCTCATTACATCACATGGTCTCCTTCATGTCCACCACCCAGTTACCCCATCCCCCCACCCTCTTCCCTCCAGTGACCCTCATACCTCCAGTTTTTTTCTCTTATGGTTTGTCTCCCTAAGTTCATTGTGTTCTATTTTTTCCTCTCCTCCCCATGACTAGTACTCTAGTTTTATGATGTTTTAAAATTTTCATGTTTAATGCTTTTGTCATTTAAAAATAAAGACTATTCTGGATTTCTATTCTTTCTTGAATCAGTTTTTTCTTTCTTTTCTTTTCTTTTCTTTTTAAGATTTTATTTATTTATTCATGAGAGTCACAGAGAAAGAGAGAGAGAGAGAGAGGAGAGAGAAGCAGAGACACAGGCAGAGGGAGAAGCAGGTTCCATGCAGGGAGCCCGATGTGGGACTCGATCCTGGGACTCCAGGATCACTTCCTGAGCCGAAGGCAGGTGCTAAACTGCTGAGCCACCCAAGGATCCCCTCTTTCTTTTCTTTTTAAGATTTTATTTATTTATTCATGAGAGACACAGAGAGAAAGAGGCAGAGACACAGGCAGAGGGAGAAACAGGTTCCCAGAGAGAGGCTGATGTGGAATTCTATCCAGGACCCTGGGATCACACCCTGAGTGGAAGGCTTCAACTGCTGAGCCACCCAGGCGTCCCCTTGAATCAGTTCTGATGAGTTATACATTTTTTTTCCTAGAAATGTGTCCATTTCATTGAGATTTTCAAATGTATCAGCATCACATTGTACATATTTCCGAAGTCAGACGCCTTATCCATTAGGCCACGTGGTCCCCTCAACATTGTACTTATTTCCAATGTGTGTTTCTTTCAACACCACCAAGTAATTCTCAGCAGACAACAACCAGGTGTCCCATGTGGAGCTTCCATGCTCTCTCCTGCGTTCCCATTCTCCCAGCACCTCCACACGCTCAACCTGGAAGCTATCTGAAAGTCTGTCCTTTGGTTTTTTATTTTTTAATATTTATTTATTTATTTATTTATTTATTTATTTATTTATTTATTTATTTATTTATTTATAGAGACACACAGAGCGAGGCAGACACAGGCAGAGGGAGAAGCAGGCTCCATGCAGGGAGCCTGACGTGGGACTCAATCCCAGGTCTCCAGGATCACGCCCTGGGCTAAAGGTGGCGCTAAACCGCTGAGCCACCCGGGCTGCCCTGTCCTTTGGGGTTTTTATGGAGACTTCATAACAAGGTACAATCGATTCAATCAGTTGGCCGCTGGTGAGTGAACTCAATCTTTAGCCCCTCTGCCCTCCCAGGAGGTGGAGAGTAGGAGGCAGAGAGGTAAAAGTTACCATTGTCTAATCACAAGATTGGTTCTCCTGACAACCAGCTCCCATCCTCAGGTTACCTAGGGGCTTTCCAAAAATCACCTTTATAAAGGTGTTAACAGACACCTTTACAGCTCTCATCATTTAGGAAATTCCAAGGGTTTTAGGACCTCTTTGCCAGTAATGGGGATGAAGACCAAATATATTATATTTCTCATTATAAATCACAAGATCACAATAGTTGTTCCTATTATCTTTTTATTAAGTGGTTTATTTGTATTATGTATTGTGTCTTTTTTTTTTTTTAAGATTTTATTTATTCATGAGAGACAGAGAGAGAGAGAGGCAGAGACATAGGCAGAGGGAGGAGCAGGCTCCATGCAGGAAGCCCGTTGTGGGACTCGATCCTGACACTCCGGGATCACGTCCTGAGCCAAAGGCAGACGCTCAACTGCCTAGCCACCCAGGCATCCCTATGTATTGTGTCTTTAGGAGAGTGATGGTAAAGGGTCATGGGGCATTTTTATACAACATATGTATAAAACATATATGAAGCATCATTCCTGCCTCATTCACTGTTTGTCCATCGTCCCTGCTACCTAAGTGGCCGTGCTGTGTGCCACATAATACACACCTCCAGTCCTGGGTGATAGGACCAGGGGTGGGCTGCTGGCATAGATGCAGCCAACCCCACTGGCTGCTCATGAAACACTGCAGTAGTCTGATATGACACAGTGAGGCTGGACCCAGGACAGTAGGTAGAAGTCATAAAGAAAAGGGTTCAATAAGTTAAACAACATAACAACATTAAACTTCCATAAGTCAAACAATATCATAAAAAAACTAAAAGGTAACTAGAGCATCACTGCCCCTTCTCTCTGAGAGAGGAAAGACTGGACCCAGTTGCTGCCCTTCCCCTCTCCCTTCTTGCCAATAACTTGCTCCAGCTGCTGCTTGGAGTCCTTTTGGCAACATGGTTGGAATGTATCTGCCTTATAACCATGCCTGACCAAGCCCAGCTTCAAAGCCCAAAGAAATTAGAAAAGAGACGGATGTGAAGAATAAACCTCTTGGCTCTTAAGGCTGACGCCAGCACTATCTTTTGCATACCAATTCTGCTGCCTTGAGGGCTAATCACAAAAAGGCTCCAGCTCATATCTATCTTGTGAGTCCCTTCCCTTCCAAAGCCTAAAAAAATACCTTAGCATTAACAGAGGACTAGAGTCACAAACAACCCTCTATTTTCCCAACATCCTCCTTTCTTCCTACTCCTCTTATGGCAACTTGAGTGTCTATGATGGCATCATTGTGCCAGAGTAGAAAATTCTACTTTCAACGGGTGGGCTCTTGTAATATTTTCTTTTAGGATTCCAACTCTTTTGTTTTTAAGAATTCTTTGTGGAGGGGCACCTGGTGGCTCAGTTGGTTGAACATTCAACTCTTGGTTTGGGCTTAGGTCCTGACCTCAGGGTCATGAGATTGAGCCTCGTGTTGGGCTCTGCACTCAGCACAGAGTCCGTCTGAGATTCTCTCCCTCTCCATCTGCAACCCCGCCTGTCCCTATCCCCATGCTCTCTCTCTAAAATAAATAAATCTTAAAAAAAATTCTTCACTTATAGCTAAACAGATACAAACATGCTAATTTCACCATGATAGCAGTTCTAATAGGCACCTGTTAAGCATTTGCAACCAAGTCATTTCAAAGCAATTAATATTGAAAGCCCCAAGAAAGTAAATAGAGGAAAATACTTACTACAAATGTAACCACAAAAGGGACTGGCATCCTTAAAGAGATCTTATAAATTACTAGAAAAAGACAAATGCCTCAATAGAAAAATAGGCAAAAGTATAAGCAGGCAAGTAACAAAACACAGGCTTCACAGACAGATTTAGATTCAAATCTGCCATGTACTATGTGACCTTGGCCAAGTTAATATATCTGAGCCTCAGTTTCCTCATCTGTAAAATGGGGACGTTATTTTTTTTTTATTGGAGTTCAATTTGCCAACATATAGCATAACACGCAGTGCTCATCCCTCCAAGTGCCCCCGTCAGTGTCCATGACCCAGTCACCCTAACCCCCTGCCCACCTCCCTTTCCAACATGGGGACAGGTTATTAATGAAGTTATATGAATGGCTTAGCTTTCAGTAAACAACCAAAAACTAATAGGAATTATCATCATTTCTTTACCACACACGTTCATCACTCCCTGTGTATCAGAGCCTGGTAAAATCACAAAGACTCCATAAAGGTCAGCACCGCACCATTACCTTCACGCATACACCTGCTGCCCTCTTTAAGCAGACTTTTGATGTTCTCCCCTGACTTCTTCCATCTTGCAGACAACATGAGGGTGAATTCTTGGTAACTCACCTCTGGTAAAAGGCACGGGTCATTCTGTAAAAGCAGGATCCGTAGCTGGGCCTCATTGAGGCCAAAAAGCCCATGGTTTTTCAGTACTTGCATGTTGACAGGTGTGTGGATGTCATGGGAAAGGGTGCAGGTAGACCTAGGAGAACACAGAGCTCTGGATCAGAGGCCCGGGTGAAGAAGGGGCCAGTCCGCCAAATGCCTCACCTGGGGTCGCTTGTAACTCTTGAAGCTGAACAATTTCCCATGATCCCATAGATACTGCAGCCTACTAGGTGGCACTGATGCTAAGAGAGGGGAGTTGAAGCAACTCTCCTCCCAAGGTCATTTTCCCCTTCAATCAGGATGCGGGGGGACTATGCTCGCCTTCCCCACCCCAGGCACCGCCACGTCGGGGGAGACTCCCCCCCCTTCGGCTGTTGGGTAAACCAAGGAAGGCCAGAGCAGGAAGCAGCCTTAAAACGCCTCCCCCCTGGGCAGCCCGGGTGCCTCAGCGGTTTAGCGCCGCCTTCAGCCGAGGGCGTGATCCTGGAGACCCGGGATCGAGTCCCACGTCGGGCTCCCTGCACGGAGCCTGCCTCTCCCTCGGCCTGTGTCTCTGCCTCTCTCTGTGTGTTCTCATGAATAAATAAAATCTTAAAAACGCCTCCCCAAGTCCCCCAGCTCCCGGGGTCCCGGGGAGTCCCTCTAGATGGGCTTTCTAAGCCTGGAGCCGCACGGACTCGCTCCGGTAAAACTCTCCATGAAGGGGCCGCGGCCCTCACAGCCCCCCCGGGCCCGCCGGAGGGAGCGAACCGCCAAGTCCCAATGCCGGCTTTCCGGCCGGGCTGCTGGACTGCGAGGGCCCTAGTTAGGGGGGGCAGTTGCATCCGGGCTGACCCGGCTGCGGGCCGCCCTCTGCCCGGCGCTGGAGGCCGGGGGGGGAGGGGGGCTCCCGGGGACCCTGCGGGGCTCGCCCTCTGCCCTCGGGGCGGCGCGGGTGGAGGGGTGCGGCCCCGAGCCAGCGCTCCCTCCTGCAGGCCGGGGACCCCGCCGCCCCGCCTCACCAGCAGTCGCGGTTCGGGCACTTGCCCAGCATGTGGCGGCGGCAGAGGTGCAGCTGGTCGCAGGCCTGGCAGTCGCCGCGCTGGTAGCGGGCGCAGAGGCGCGCGGAGGACACGGCCACCACCCGCCAGGCGCGCGGCCCGCCGCCGCCCGCGCCCCCCGCGCCCCCCGCGCCGCCCGCGCCGCCCGGGGCGCGCTCCGCCTGGGCCTGGGCCTGGGCCTGGGCCTCGGCGCGGGGGCCCTCGGTCTCCTGCACCTCCTGCAGCAGGAAGCGCTCGGGCCCGGCCTGGCGCAGCACGTCCCGCAGCCTGGCCTCGGACAGCTCCACGTGGCCGCGCAGGTCCTGCAGCAACATGCGGCCGCCGTTGGCGCACAGCACCTTGGTGAGGAAGGAGCACACCGTGGGCTCCGCCATGGCCGCGGCCGGCCCGGAACCCGGAGCCGCCAGACTCCTCCCAGCCACGTCCCCGATCCGGGCCCCGGCTCCCGGGCGCCGCGGGGAGGAGCGGGGAGGGGAGTGGGGGAGGGGGAGGGGCGCGGGGGAAGGGGTGGGGGCGCCATGGGGGGAAGGGGAGGGGAGGAGAGGGGAGGGGGCGGGGAAACGGAAGGGGGAGGGGCGCCGCGAGGTGAGTGGGAGGAGTGGGGGGCGCTGCGGGGACGGCCGGGGAGAGAGAGTGGGGGAGGGGAGGGGGCGCCGCGGGGGGGATGTGGGAGTGGGGGTCGGGGAAGGGGGGACCCGGAGCCTGCGGGGGGGGCCCCATGCGCACGATCTCCCCGAGCGCCTGCCCGCTGGGAGCACCCCCGCCGGGAGGGGCTTGCTTGGCCAGGGGGGAAGTCTGCGGGCCGGCAACTGCGGGAATCCGGGGTGCCCGTAGGACGTGGGACCGCAAAGGTAACACAGGTAAGCAGGGCGAAGGGGCGGGCTGGGCTCTAGGGAGTTGGTGGTGGGAGGACTCGGGTAGCCCGAGCCGCAGGTGGCTGGCGAGGCCTTGGAACGCTGACCAGTTCCACCCGAGATGTGATGTCAGTGGGAGGCAGTGGGAGGTACACAGCCTGCACCTCGCAGGTCTGGGAGGGGAAAGATCTCATTAATCACTTGGATCGATCGGGGCGCCTGGGCTGCTGAGCCGTTGAGCGCCCGCCTTCCTTCGGCTCCGGGAGTGACCCTGGGGTCCCGGGATCGAGTCCTGCACGGGGCTCCCCTGGGGGAGTCTGCTTCTCCCTCTGCCTGCGTCTCTGCCTCCTTGTGTGTCTCTCGAATAAATAAATAAAAATCTTTAAAAAAATAGCTTCATTAATCATGCTCAATTGATGCTGTTTAAATAAAATGTTCTTACAATTTCATCTGTTTCTTTACTTTTCTAGTGTACCTATGATAAAATGTGGAATTACCTGTAGGGCTCACACTTTATTCCTGTTGGACCGCACTTGTTTACTAGACCTGTTTACTAAGCAGCGGGCCTTTCTGTCCCCCACCCCCTGCTCATTCCATCCAGGGCGCTTGAGCCACTGCTAATGAAACAAACAAAGTACAAAGACACAGGAGACCCAGTGGAGGAAATCAACCAGCTACCTTACAGGGTGGGTTGTGAGGATGAAGTGAGTTGATGTCTTGTAAAGAAGCTAAAGAGGAAGGCAACTGATTGGCCAGGTGCCAGATTATCTTCTCCGCCAGGATTAGAAGCTTGGATTTACACACTGAAGACCTGGGGAAGTCACTGATGGAATTCAGCCCAGAGTGGCCCAGAATGTTTCTCCCTGCTCTGGATATCTCCCTTTCACCTCTGAGCTTCGATGTCTTCTCTTCAGCAAGACCTTTCTGGACCTCCCAATCAGAAATAGTTCCCCAGTCTCTACACGGAACTTACCACCCATAGTTTTTCTTCTTTTTTATTTCTGTATTTGTAGAATTCAAGCACGTGAAAGCAGGAATGAGGTTTGTCTTGTTCATTGCTCTATCCTTGAATCTGAAAAAACAGTGCCTGGCCATACTTAGCAGAGGTGTTTTAGAAATATCCCTGGCAGCCATGGGAAGAATAGATTTCTAGAAAAAGCAAGACATGGAATAACAGAAGAGGACTTGAGGGACTATAATCCCAGTTTTTATTGTGTTAAGTTTGCAGAGGACGATCCAAGGGAAGACGCTCAGTAGGCAGTTATATTTAGAGATGTAGAGCTGACAAAAGATGGGAGGAATATAGGTTTGAGTGACGTCAGATTATTAGGTCATTTAGGCAGTGAGGGTTGATCATCCAGCAAAATGGAGCATGTGTAAAGCAAATGTGGGAGAAGAGAACCTTGAGGAATGGCTACAAGAAAGGCAAAGGGAAGAGAAAAATCAGAAGGAAACTGGAAGTAGCTCTTAATGCCTCATCCATGTCTTGTGACACTTGGCATTTGCACCTGGACTCTCCTCGCTGAAGGAGCAAGCTTGCCAGCAATTGAGGGAGGCTGGAATTAACCAAGGAACTGACACTCCAGGAAGAGTCCCTGATGAGTGATGTTAGGGCAATAGTGGTGTGGGGCCCACTCAGACCACCCTGAATTGGTATGAAGATTATTTTAAACTAAAGACAGTTGAGATTCAACAGATGTAGAAAGAAGCCTTCTTGGAGCTTCCCTCCCTTATTTCATGAAAAGCAGAGAGTTCTGGAACTGAGACTGTCATAGATCCTCTCTGGAGAAGTCTTATGGCCATGAAGAAAAAAAAAAATAAAACGGAGATCACTGGCACCTGCATAAACATTATCACAAACTTCCGTATCTTGTATGTTCCTCCAGAAACCCATTTATTTGTCCTTAGCACAGAAGCCTTTTCTCCCCCTTCCTCTCCCCTATTAATTAAGGATGCAGACCCCCATCTTTAACCATTTAGGGAGTCACTTTGTTTCCAGATGGCTGTGGTAAACTTTGAGGGGTTTTGTCTCCTGTTAATCTGTTGTCAGTTAATTTGCACTCCTGAACCTAAGAGAAAAAAGGAAGTTTTTTCTCCCAGTTAGTGGATAAATATCCCAAGGCATTATTATTCCTCAGATAGAATGACTTCAAGGTGTATGTATATTCCTTAGTCTCCCTGAGGTTCTTCAGTGGCATCGAGCTTCAGTTGCCCACAGCTCTAACTTGCTTGTTAAAATGCCCTATATTGCCTTCCTTTAAAAAAAAAAGAAAAAAATATTTTATTTATTTACTCATGAGAGACACAGAGACACTGGCACAAGGAGAAGTAGGCTCCTTGCAGGAAGCCCGATGTGGGTCTCAATCCCAGGACTCGATCATGACCTGAGCTGAAGGCAGATGCTTGACCACTGAGCCACCCAGGTGCCCCCTCTATAGTGCCTTCCTTTCCCTGTCTTACCTCCCTACTTCTCCACTGGTGTTTCTTGGGCTCATCTCCCAAATCAACTGCTTGCCTTCGATCTTCTACCTGCTTCTGAGGGAAGCCAGCCTAACATATAAACCAATAAAGAGATGAGAGAGAAAAATGAGTCACTCAGGGATGCACAGAGGGGAAGTTTCAAGATCTTCAGCATTACAAAATGCTGCAGGAAGTTGCCCTACAAAGGTGTTGATAAACTAGGTGAGTTTATTTCAGAGGTATAATGAGAAAGGGCAGATTGCTGTAGGCTAAGAGGGGTAAAAAATGGGAAAGTCCAGCTTTTTAAGATAAGTTATCATAAAAGGTAAGGTGGTGATAAAATGATTAGAGAAAGACGTAAGGTTGAGAGCACTGTTTTATTGTAGGAGGGGCAAGCATAGTTCTACAAGTGAACAGAGCCAGTAAGAAGGGAAAGTTGAAAATTTGGCTGAGAAGAATGATAATGCAGCAGGTGATTTTCCTAAGGCAGTGGGAGAGGACAGGACCCTGGAAGAATTCATCTCAGGCAGAAGGAGAAATACCTCTTCCATTTAGGCAAGAGGAAGAGAAGCAAGGATGAGTACATGGAAAGACAAGTTTTAAGATGAAGTAGAAAGTTCCAATAGCCATTTGTGTTGTTAAGTATAAGACAAGACTGAGAATGGGTGGGGAGTCCTGTGAGGAGGTTGGTGGAGGTTTAACACAGCTGTCCTGAGGGGATGGGGGAATGTGCACCAGGAGGACAGGTGGGCGGTACAGAGGGCTTTGCCAAAGTTGAACACCAGGCATGTGGAGTGGTATTCACCAAAACAGCTCTGCTAATTCTAAAAGTACTCAGTGTTAAAAAAAAAAAAAAAAGATAAGAAAGTACTCCATGTTCATAGAAACAGAATTTGATGAACCTTCTGCTAGGTTTGGCAAACGGATGGGACATTAAGTCCAGGGGTTCCAGGGGATTGAAAGTATTAACTGAAGGAGCGGTCAGGGGCCTCATGGGCTCCGGGGTAAAGTCAGGAAGGAAGTGAAGACCAGAAGGCGCTGCATGTGTGTGAGAAAGTAGATATAGGAAATGTGAGAGCAAGAGAGCTAAAGGGCTCAGTAGAGGTAGTATATATTAATTTGCAATTTCAGAAAGAGTGGTTCTACAGCAATTTTCCCAGCAGTAGGGCAATGGATATGGATGCCTAGAAGTAAAGATAAAGATGTTGGAGACAAGGAAGTTACAGACACCTCTGAGACTAGGAGTGTTGGCTCGGCTTTCCACAATGAATGTTTGAAGGAAAGATGGGGGACTTGAGTGGGGAGGTAGGCTGTGAGCCAGAACAAGTCTCTCCCTCTGGGAGGTGAGGAGGCGGGACCAGGAGTCTGTGCAGGAGTTAATGGAAGTGTGGGAAGTCAGAGGGAAGGGGTAGCGACTGTTCCCTAGAGAGGAAGCCTAGCAGTATGGTTAATCTGTGGGTTCTGGAGCTAGACTCCAGGGGTTCAGAATGCTGGTTCTGTTCCTCATTAGCCATGAAACTTTGGGCAAGTTATTTGAGCCCTTAGCAGAGGTACAGATTCTGGAATCAACAGTGTGTGGTACCTAAAGTATGGGAATAAATGAGCTTCATGGGGAAGCGTGTTAAGGGGTTGGGATGGGGGGATTGGGAGAAGATCCCAGAGCAGACTACTGGGGAATGTAGAGTTTCAGGGTGCAAAGGGAGACATCAGGAAATGGGTGAAGAGGACAAGAAGATTCACAAGAGCATGTAAAAGAGAAACACAGAAGGTTGAGGTTGGAGTGGTATTTTAGGAGTTGAGTTTTTAGGATTCAGGCAGTTCCTTGTAAGTTCTGATATGTCCTCCAACTCAGATTCTGAAGCTAGTTCTCAAAGAAACTGCTGACCCCTCCAGGTACACTTGTCTGGCACAGGCTTTTATGAAGTCACTCCACTGGTAGGACAATTTTGCCAATACCCATTGATATTTTTAACTTTTGTGTTTCAGCCAGGCCTTGCTGCCATGCCTGGGGCCAAAGGGAAAGATATATTCATAGTTGCCAGCCTCTCTTTCTCTAAGCCCCTAGGCCAAAGATGTGCCGACCAACCGACCAACCACGGGTTCCTCCATCACCATTACCCTGCCTCTCCCTGGCAGTGTATTGACAGCTCCTTGGTCAGCAAGTCCTGGAATGAAAAAGCCAGAAGGAAAAACCACATCCTCTAACCCCCCATTGAATAAATTAGTGTCTGCAGCTGATTATCTTTTTGGAGATACCTAGAAATAAAAAGTCAATTCAGGCAGCAAGGCAAAATTAATATTTCTCTTTATTGGAGAGTCTCGAATTACACTTGAAGAAGAAATACAGCTCAACCCCTGAAATGTAAATAGTTGAGCTTACTTTATTCGACAAAATATATCCAATGTATCAAACACTCAACTAAGTATCAGGTGTAGCACAGTGAACAAGGCTGTTGAGTCAGCCCTCAAGGAGCTTACAGTCTTATGCAGAAAGCAGACAACAAGTTGGACAGATGCTAAAAATGAACAAAGGAAGGCACAAAGTTTTTTAAAGATTGGGGGTTTGGGAAGCAAGCATCGAATCTATTCTACAGAAGGACTCCTTACGAAGGTAGAAGTAAACTAATCTGAGGATGCTAGACATATAACTAAGTCAGTGGTTCTCACTGTGGTATTTTGGAAACGGATGGGTTATTGGCTTCATAATCAGTGGGAACGATTACTACCATTGAGTAGATGCAGCCAGGGAGAACGGATGACCTGTACTGGATGGGTTAGTCCCACAAAACGAAGAATTATTCTGTACTCTATTCGCCTTTTTAATGTCCTTCTAGACATTTATGAAGGACTTGCAGCTCGCCAGAGAGTATCATTCATTTTCTCGTCTTAGACCACCTGTTATCCTTCTACCAGTTAATTTTGCTCTTTTCCTAACCACATGCCTTCTCAGTATGTTATGACTTACCCTAACACTGATTTTCATCCTAGGGTCACCCCTAGCTCTCACCTTTCATTTTCCTGTACTTCTTTATAAGAAGTAGCCTCTGAATGACTCTGAAATTCAAACCTATTCACTGGAAGTAGGAGTAAATGTCTATTACATGATGTCGTAGAGCATAGTCATGCCTGAGCATTTACACACTGAAACTCATTTTCATTACAAATTTTTTTCCTGATGAATGGATAAAGAATATGTGGTCTATACATACAGTGGAATATTACTCAGCCATTCAAAATGACGAATACCCATTTGCTTCCACGTGGATGGAACTGGAGGGTATTATGCTGAGTGAAGTAAGTCAATCGGAGAAAGACAATCATTATATGGTTTCACTCATACGGGGAATATAAAAAATAGTGAAAGGTATTATAGGGGAAAGGAGAGAAAATGAGTGGGAAAAATTAGAGAGGGTGACAAAACATGAGAGACTCCTAACTCTGGAAACGAACAAGGGGTAGTGGAAGGGGAGGCAGGTGGGGATGGGTGACTGGGTGATGGGCACTGAGTGGGGGGTACTTGATGGGACGAGCACTGGCTGTTATACTATATGCTGGCAAATCAAACTCCAATGTAAATATATATATATATATATATATATATATATATATATATATATAAATTCTTTCCTTCTGTTTCTCCATTATAATTGAGTCGGTGTGTTAAATGGGTTTGTAAAGAAATTCACGTGTATAGGTAGGTTGTATCACCTAGGAGTCCTCTCAGACCAACAAAGGGGATGTGACAAAATGTTACTGCTCTGGAAAGGGTGAATAGATCTGATGGGGTTTGCAATTGCCCTATAACTGGGGGGAGGAAAGGGTGCTATCGGCACTTTGTATATGAGAGCCAAGTATGCAGAACATTTCGCAATATACTGGACAGTTCCCCATGATAAGAAACTATTCTGCACCCTACACGAATTTTGAATGTCTCGCTAGACATTCTTGTATGACCTACAGTTCGTCTGCAAAAAATAGAATATTTCCTCATTTTCTCCATTTTGACAATCTGTAGATTTTCTTGGATAGTATCTTTATTTCAATTAAGGCTATTTCGATATTTCTCTTGTAAGTACTATCATATGCAATAAGTTATGCATCACTAGTTTTTATTATAAGGTCCACTCCTATCCCTGCTTTTTCATTTTCCCATACTATGTATAAAATCAGGTTTGATCTACCTTCTTGTAAATTTGCTCATTATAGGTAGGTGTAAACATCTGACTACTTAATTAGGTCTTCTAATAGGGTCGTGCCCAAGTAACGTACCTTTTGTTTTCCTTTTATGTTCATGTTAATTTTGATTAATTTTAAATTTACTTCCAAAATTATATGTACGTAGAGTATATTACAATTGGATTGCACTTTGAGGATAATAAAACAGATGTTACAATGTATTTGTCAAAAAAAAAAAAAAGGCAGGCTTACTTTTTGAGAACCACTGAGCTAGGGAAAAGGAGTACTAAAGAACTGCAAGTAAACTAGCCAAGAGTGGCTTGGGTGGAAGAAAATAAATAATAGAGGGCAGGGAAGGGTGAAATCATGTGGGGCTGTAATAATGATTTTGAACTTTATTCTAAAGGCATGATCAGATTTGTGTTTTTAAAGATTGTTATATAAAAAAATGTTAAAATACGACCATTCTTACTGCTAAGTAAAGAACACCTCAGAAGGGGACAAAGAAATATTTGAAAAACTGGACTTCCCCCAAGCTTGGGGGAAGGAGAGGAAGAAGTCAATGATGACTTCTGGAAACAATACTAGGGGAGAAAATGATTCGTTTGAAGGAGGCTGATTGAGAATTCCATTTGGGACATGTTGCTTTAGAGGCATCTATGAAATATCCAACTAGAGATGTCTCATGGACAACCAGAGTTGGACAAATTGCATCTCTGAACACATGAGAACCGAGATCAAGAAATCAAAGCTCCAAAGCATACCACCATTAAAAAAAAAAAAAAAAGTGAATGAGAGTAAGTGTTTGTGACAAGCCTCCCAGAAAATAACTCTGCCTTAAAAAATCTCTATACATTTGTTGCTGGTGGAGTCCTTTAAACCAAGGGGTTGTGGAGATGTTTGAAGTGATCTACAATCTGATATAAAATCAACTCCAAGGCTAAGTAACTTTTATAATATGTCTGCTGAGGAGCCATAACAGGAAACTGGTGAATGCTGAAAAGGAAAACTGAAAGGAAAAACCTGCTTCATGATAAGGAAAGAACTCTTGGTCCAGGAACCTCAACTGCTTTGAAAACTGATTGTACTACAATGCTGTACAATCCGTTATATTTAGAAAAAAGAAGCCCCTTTGCAGGTGCAAGACCTGTTGAGGCATTATTCTCTTTGTTCTGATTCCGTGCTCACCAGGAAACAAATCTCAACTCCTTAAGGAGCCCATGCTTCAGTGGGGATGGCTTGCTCCCAATTCCTTGGTGAGCCTCATTTGCTACAGCGAACGACTACAATAGCACTCAGGTTTATCAGTCGCGCTTCTGTGAATCTGGTTACTGCAACTCAGATCTCCCAAAATACAGACGCTTTCATTAAAGTCCAACCTAAAAACCTTCTCTATAATCATATATTAGGATATACATGTCTACTTTGCCATAATTATATAAAGAACCCAAATGGGCAATTAACTCCAGTGGGTCGCTTTTCTCTGAGCCACACTTTGTGGCTCTTTTTATTGCATTCCGGACAATCAACCTGGATGGAGCCCCCTAAGTAAACGTAGAGATAAAGAAATGTGTGCCCCAATTCAGTCTTATCTCGAAGGTACGGTACAGTTATATCTGTAATGGCATTTATTTTGTTTTGTTTTCTTTTTTTGTAATGGCATTTAAATGATCTTTTCTTCTCCCTTCCCCCAGCATTTTTCTAAACCCTACCCCCACCCCCAGCTTTCCATAATCTTCTATCCAAGGTGGGATGGTCTAATGTGCTTACTTTCATAGGCAATTTTTAGATTTCTCTCAAATTGCCCAAATTAATTTTCTTTCAATTAAACCAAGACAAAACCATGCCATACAGTAAATGAAGAATAAGTAGCTGGGAGAGAAACTTGTTGCAGTTAAAGATGTTTTAGAAATCCGACTTTTCCCAGTTCTATCTAAGACGGTGATTCCCAAACTTTATGACACATTCGAATCCTTGTAATTCAAAGATTAACACTGCCCAGCTCTCATACCGGAAACAGTGGTTCAGTTGGCACAGGGTGCAATCTGAACACTGGAATTCTTAGCCTTCCACATGATTCAAATGGGTAGCAAACTTTGGGAACCACTGATCTAAAGCAGTTGATAACTAAATGAGAAACGTATAAGTGTACTATTGGGGCAATCTGACTCCGTAAGTGAACAGAATGGTGATGGCCTCCTTTATGACGCTGTATTCATCATTTCTAACTAATCATACAGGCTTTCTCTGGTTCAGTATATTCAATCACGTATTGTGGGTAAATCTGATCTTTCTCGTAGATGACAAAAATGGAAGGATTCAACCTTACATCCACATAGCTGTCATACGGTGGTGGAGGAGGGTTTAGGCTTTCCCTATATCCTTGAGTAAAATCTCCAACCAGGACTCGAGCTACAAACATAACCATGTTTTTGGTATCATACTGCTGATCTTTATGGGAATAGATGGCATCCTTTGTGAAGTAAATTCCTAGAAATAATCAGAAGAAGGAAAAGGGTAAGAATTATTATGAAAAAAAGGCATATAGTTTGCAAGATTATTTACATACCATCAGATGATGGATATTAACTAAGCACGCGGCAGTAACACCTTACTGGTACTTAGAAACTTTCCTTCATACTTAAAAAAATGTGTTTTGGGGGATCCCTGGTTGGCTGGTGGTTTGGCGCCTGCCTTTGGCCCAGGGCATGATCCTGGAGTCCCAAGATCGAGTCCCACATCGGGCTCGCTCCCTGCATGGAGCCTGCTTCTCCCTCTGCCTGTGTCTCTGCCCCACCCCCCGTCTCAAATAAATAAATAAATAAATAAATAAATAAATAAATAAAATCTTTTTTAAAAATGTGTTTTATGCAAGTTAATTTGAATCCAGTATATAACCCTACTGAAATAACAGAAACATTTGCTACCATGCAGGGGCTCCCAGTGAAGGTGTGGTGTGAGCCACTCGCTACAGTAAGTAGCGATGATGTCACAGCAGCCCAACTCATGCAAATCATGCAGGGTGAGTTGAATTGTAACCTGATGAAACAAAGCTACTCCAGCAGAGTACTTTTTATATTATGTACATTTAAAGGGACAAAGGTCATTTACTACTGATGGGAAGGTCCTAGAAAACGTAAAAGAAGGATGTGTAGCATAAGCAACCAACTGACCCTGGTAGAGCTTTTCAAAGCAGTTGATCTATTGTCCTTCTCGAGCATAAAACAACCTCTCTATCACGGAGGTCTCCCTCCCTTTTATTTTTTTTACACTTTATTATTTATTTATGAGAGAGAGAGAGACAGCATGTATGCATGGGGGGGGGGGCAGGGGAAGAAGGAGAATCCCAAGCAGGACTTCACAGTGTGGAGACTGAGGCACGGCTCCATCTCACATCCCTGAGATCATGACCTGAGCTGAAATCAAGAGTCAGACATATAACCCACAGAGCCGCCCAGGCACCCCCGCATCACTGAGGTTTCTATACTCAGCAGATCAACAATGATTTCCTGACAAACTGAAATTTCTTTTTTTGTTTTTGTTTTTAAAGATTTTATTTATTTATTCATGAGACACACACACAGAGAGAGAGAGAGAGAGAGAGAGAGAGAGAGAGAGACAGGCAGAGGGAGAAGTAGGCTCCATGCAGGCAGCCTGATGTGGGATTTGATCCCTGGTCTCCAGGATCATACCCCGGGCCAAAGGCAGGCTCTAAACTGCTAAGCCACCCAGGGATCCCTGAAATTTCTTATATTAATTTTTGTCACTGCCAGATACTTTTCTCTATATTTTTTATTGAAAAGATTTATTTATTTGAGAGAGACAGAATGGCGTAGGGGCGAGGGTTGTGCAGGGGGAGAGGGAGAAGCAGACTCTCGCTGAGCGGGTAGCCTGACACAGGGATCCATCGCAGGACCCTGGGATCATGACTGGAGCCAAAGTCAGCTGCGTAGCCAACCATACCCACCCAGGTACCCCATTTTCTCTCTTTTTAAAGAAATGTGGGGGCACCTGGGTGGCTCAGTGAGTTAAGTGTCTGACTCTTGATTTCAGTTCAGGTCATGATCCCAGGGTTGTGAATTAGGGCCCCAACTCAGGCTCTGTGCTCATCAGGGAATCTGCTTGAGATTCTTTCTCCCTCTCCCTCTGCCCTTACCCCTACTTACATAATAAATAAATAAATAAATAAATAAATAAATAAATAAATAAATAAACTATTTAAAAGGAAAAAAGAAATGTGTATGGGGCACCTGGGTGGCTCAGTCAGTTAAGTGTCTGACTCCTGATTTTGGCTCATGACCTCAGGGTCATGGGATGGAGCCCCATATCTGGCTCCATGCTCAGCAGGGAATCTGCTTAAGATTCTCTCTCTCTCTCTCTTCTCTCTCTCTCTCTCTCTCTCTCTCTCGGGAATGCCTGGCTGGCTCCGCAGTTGAGCATCTGCCTTCAGCTCAGGGCATGATTCCAGGGTCCTGGGATTGAGTGCTGCATCAGGCTCCCCACAGGGAGCTGGCTTCTCCCTCTGCCTATGTCTCTGCCTCTCTCTCTCTCTCTCTCTCTCTCTCTCTCTGTATCCCTCATGAATAAATAAAGTCTTTAAGATTCTCTCTCCATCTCCCTCTGCCCTTCCCCCACTGCTTGCACTAAATAAAATCTTTTAAAAAATTAGATATGTGTGTATATTTGCAAATTCTGATTTTCTATGAAAAGTTAATTAGTAAAATGAATTTGTTTCATTTATGTAACAAGTGTTTAATATTTTTTCATGTATCTGGTTTATTTTTTTATTACTGATTTTAAAAAAATATTTTAGATGTTTGAATTCCAGAAATACTGCTTATCCTGAGTAGATCAGATGCTGGATATTCTGAGTAAATGATGTTCAAATATTTGGAATAAGAAATGAAAGTCCAGGGTGCCTGGGTGGCTCAGTCTGCTTTTGGCTTGGGTCATGATCCTAGGTCCTGGGATTGAGCCCCACATCAGGATCCCTGATCAGTGGAGAACCTGCTTCTCCCTCTCCCCTCTACCTCTCCCTGCCCCTGGTGCTCACGTGCACTCTCTCCCAAATAAATAAATAAAATCTCAAAAAAAAAGAAAGAGAAAGAAAGAAAGAAAGGAAGGAAGGAAGGAAGGAAGGAAGGAAGGAAGGAAGGAAGGAAGGAAAGAAAGAAGAAAGAAAATGAAAGTCCACTTATACTGATCTACCATTTTCCTGCCTGCAGTCCCTCAAAAACACAGTGACCAGCTTGGTGGGGATTCTCTGACCCATTTCTAGGCATTTACATACATATATAACACATTTACTCTGGTAGTTTGATGTTCTTTTATTTGTTAATTTTAGGATTATACTATATGAACTGTTCTGCATTTTTCTACACTCTAGTCCTGGAAATTTTGCTGTCACTCCGTTTAACTCCACCTCATTCTTTTTAATGACTGCACAGGATTCCATTGTATGGATGTTCAATTTAACTACCTTTGTATTGATTAAAATATAGGTTGCTTTTACTTTTTGCTATGGTTTTGAACCAACAACAGTTCTAAATAAATACTTTTAAGACATCCTAGTAAACATACCTTTGAGAGCCTGTATAAGCATTTCTATAGAATAGGTTGCAAAACTATAATGGCTGAGTCAAAGGACATGTGCATATTATATTTTGACAGAGATTACAAATTGTCCTCCAGAAACAGTCTAAAAATTTTACCAGCAATGGAGAAAGTCCCATTTCTCCAAACCTTGTCAACATTGGATATCAACGATCTTTTTAATTTTTGTCAATACGAAGTGTGAAAAATTGTAATGTGTGTTTTCCTCAATACTAGTGACATTAAGCATCTTCTCATATGCTTATTGGCATATTTCATAAGCTCTTTCTTGCAACTGCTTTTCCCTTTCTTTTTTTCCTATTGTATTTTTGTCTTTCTTTTTTTACTGGTGTGTGACCAAAATAAGCTTACATTTAAAAGACAGTGTCCATACAGATCTTTTTTTTTTTCATACAGATCTTTTTATAATCTTATTAAGTAGGCCAGTAGATAATTGGAAAATGATCAAGGACAAAACCAAAAATCATCATCCCACCACAATTCTATTGGGTCACCAGCCTTCCCTCCTAGCCGGTTCCCACTCTCAGTTTTACCAGATGGCCAAATATAGATGTATTCTATACTACTCTGCTATCCCCTGAGTATAGAGGCTGTGCCTTCTTTATTTATTTGAGAGAGAGAACTTGTGCACAAGCCAGGAGAGGTAGCAGGAGAAGAGAGAGGGAAGTTCCCACTGTGTAGGAAACCCAACAAGGGCTTGATTCCAGAACCCCAGGATCATGATCCGAGCCAAAGTCAGATGCTTAACCAACTGAACCACCCCGGCACCCCTGTGCCTTCTTTATTTTTATTATTTCTCATTTGATGGACGCCCACTACAAACTCTCGATCACACTACCCACCTCTGTGCATCATAGTATAATCATAAGTCATTTCTTTTTTTTTTTTTTATGACAGTCACAGAGAGAGAAGGAGAGAGAGGCAGAGACATAGGCAGATGGAGAAGCAGGCTCCATGCACCGGGAGCCCGATGTGGGATTCGATCCCAGGTCTCCAGGATCGCGCCCTGGGCCAAAGGCAGGTGCCAAACCGCTGCGCCACCCAGGGATCCCTCATAAGTCATTTCTAAGTGTCTGCAAAGAGCCATTCCTAAAGCCATTCCTCATAAGTCAATTTCTGGAACTACTAAAAAAATTTTTTAAGATTTTATTTATTTATTCAGGAGAGACACACAGAGAGAGGCAGAGACACAGGTAGAGGAAGAAACAGGCTCCCCACAGGGAGCCCAAAGCGGGACTCGATCCCGGGACCCCAGGACCATGCCCTGAGCCAAAGGCAGACGCTCACCCACTGAGCCACCCAGGTGCCCCACTTCTAAACAATTTAAGCTATTTTGTAAGGAGATCTTTCTAAAACATATATATTTCTCTGATTTAAAAAATGGAACAAGTCATTTTGCTCTTTTCCTGATGCATCAGATGTAGATATTAATTCTGATATACGGTGTTACAACATAGGGGGGGCCCTCTTGAGTTACTAAGGGGGACAGAGCCATTTACTCCTTTACTAATGGTCTATACACAGCTTGAAAACAATGTTAAGCTGTGTTTGTATCTCGTAGATCATTTCCCCTCTCATTCTCCACTTAAAACTGCTAACTTTCTTCTTGCTGCCACCTCTAGCATCTCTCGACTCCCACTCCACACTTGCTGGGCTGAGAAAAACAAAAACAACAACCACCACCACTGTTTTGAAATAAGACCAAATGATTCTGCGAAGCTCCCGAGAAAAAAACATACACAATCTTCAGCACAGGAATTTTATGACAACAACTCAGGCTATTCATAACACAGTTGTTCACTCTTTTCAATTCCAAGTTATCTTTCAGAAAGCAAATATTTCCAGATAAGTGAAATCCAGCTATGCATGTAAAAGCTGTCAAATAAATAGTATGGATTTACTGGTAAAAATATATTTGACTTAAAGCAAATGGAATAAAATCAAGAGACAAAAATTTCATTCATATTTTTCTTGAGTGTGCATTTTTATCGCTTGATAAAGCCATAAAACTTATTTGCAACATTCAGAGATAGTTGTGTATATTTCAATGGCACAAAGTTACTTTTATACTTGTTAAATTAATTTTTTCTATTTTATAATAAAGTCTGAGTACTAATTTGATTATTCAGCTATTTTTTAAAGATTTATTTTTTTTAAAGATTTATTTATTTATTCATGAGAGACAGGGGGGAGAGAGAGAGAGAGAGAGAGAGAGAGAGAGAGAGAGAGAGGCAGGCAGAGACACAGGCAGAGGGAGAAGCAGGCTCCATGCAGGGAGCCTGATGTGGGACTCGATCCTGGGACTCCAGGACTACGCCCTGGGCCAAAGGCAGGCGCCAAACCGCTGAGCCACCAAGGGATCCCCCAAGATTTATTTATTTATTTTAGAGTGAGAGAGAGGAGAGAGAGAGAGAGAGAGAGAGAGGGTGGGGAGAGAGAGAGGAGAGAGAGCACACGTAAGCACAGGGAAGGGCAGAGAGAGAGGGAGAGAGAATCTCAAGCAGGTTCCACATCCAACACAGAGCTGGACCTGGGGCTTGATCTGATGGCCCTGAGATCATGACCTGAGTTGAAATCAAGAGTCAGACATTTAACCCACTGAGCCACTCAGGGGCCCCCAACTATTTTTTTAAAGTAATCTCCATGGTTAATGGTTAATATGGGGCTTGAACTCACAACCCCCAGAAATCAGGAGCTGCACACTCTACCACCTGAGCCAGCCTGGTGCCCCTATTCAGCTATTTTTGTTTACCAGTGATAACCAAACGAAAGACAAATGAAGCCAATGACAAAAGATTCTTTATACAGGTATTCTAGGTCTTTGGAAGACATCTTTATCATTCATCATTCAGAAAAGAGTAGCCATTACCCTAAAGAACTGATTTTTTTTTCCCAAAGGATCATCAGTTGTTTTTAAAAATCACATTTCTATAATGTGGAACCAATATTTGTTTAAGTGAGTCAACCCTAAGACCCAACCCTGTAGCCTGCTCTCCTAAGACTTAGACTCAGTCTTCTTGCAAATACCTCCTTCAAGTGATAGATTTCCTGAACCCCAGTATCCTCTTCATCCCTCTACCTGCATCTAGACCACCCTCATTTCTAGCCTGGACTCTTTTTTTTTTTTTTTTTTAAGATTTATTAAGAGAGGGATGCCTGGGTGGCTCAGTGGTTGAATATCTGCCTTCAGGTGGGGTCGTGATCCCAGGGCCTTAATGGCTTATATCCTCCATGGGGAGCCTGCTTCTCCCTCTGCCTAGTGTCTGACTCTCTCTCTCTTTCTCTTTCTCTTTCATGAATAAATAAATAAAATCTAAAAAAAAAAAAAGATTTATTGAAAGGGAGGGAAGAATGGCCGAGGGAGAAGAAGAAAGCATCTTCCACAGACTCCACACTGAGCACAGAGCCTAGAGTGGGGCTCAAACTCATAATCTGAGATGAGGAGGATGTGAGCAGAAACTGAGAGCCAGTTGCTTAACCAGCTGAGCCACCCAGGTGCCCCATGGACTAGACTCCTAAATTGACCTCCTTACCTGCTTTCTCTCCTATAGGCTTGGTCCCACCTATCCTTTCTCACAACGCAGCCAGAGTCATTGGTACTTCCTTCTCAAAGCCATTGGTGGTTTGTGATTGACCTCTGGATAAAAATCCCTCCCCTTAGCATGGCTCCCATGGTGTTTCAGGAGCAGACACTGACTTCCTGCTCCAGCCTTATCCTCAGTCATTCCCACCAGATCTTAAATGTCCTGTGCTGCTACAGCCTCCCCAGCCTTTGGCAATCTCCAGTCTTCATAAACACTCTTCTCCCAACTTGTCCGTTTTGTTTTGTTTTGTTTTCTGCCAAGCTAGCTTTTGTAAATTGTCCTACAGGTCATACTTAGGTCATACTTAAGACTTCACAATATGCTGTCTTCCTATAATCTACTTTATTCATTTTTTTCATTTATTTAGTATAACTGACATAATGGGATAACATTGTGTGTTTTTTTTTCTCTTAACAATTCTTTATACATAACCATCTTTTATTTTGGCCAGACATATTCTTTGTCTCAGAGAGGATGAGAATCACTATGGAAGGACTCTATAAGGAGAAAGAAAAAATCGTGGCCAGCTTTCGACTACTAAAATAGGACCTGAATATACATTGTAAAAAATGGACTTTGTTAACTAGAACTCTGAATAACACCAGGGAAAGGAACATTCTTCTAGGTTGGGAGTCACAACAGGTCAAGTTGGCTCTAACTCAGTTATTCGGGCATCATGGGCTCCATCCACCATGCTGGGCCTGTCAGGGATAACAGAAAGGAGTCCTGCGGCAGAGGAATGCATGTGTCCCACTTCCTATGTGGAATGCCAACCTTCCAATTCCCCATAGATTCTTTTGGGTTTTCTACATAGACACTCATATTACCAAAAATAATATTTTTGTCTCTTTCTTTCCAACCATTTAGCATTGAGAGATACCTGGGTTGCAGAATCTTGGGAGATGTTATAGATGTCGATGCCTGCAGCACCCTGGATCCCAAACAAGTTACCTGGCCTCCTATGCCTCTCATCGGGCCTCTTGAATCCAGTTTGTAACCAGGACAGGTCCTTGTTTGCTTAGCTACCTTAGCACAAACGTGCTTCTTTTGCTAACTTCACCTCACTTCCACTTTTTATCCAAATCTGAGTTTTTATCATCTCCTTTGACTGTGAAGTTGGGTGGCTTTTACCTAACTGTTATTCTCAGTCCAGACTGCTCAGCAGGTCTGGTTCCGCTTCCCAGCTCTTACCAACTCTCCAACTAACCCGTCTTCCACTCTGATCCCCCATCTCCCAACAGATGCCCTCTTCCCACCTCCAATTTATCAAAAGGTAGCCCATAACCCTTCTATCTTTCCAGGCACATCTTACTCTCCTGACACTCTCCTTAACACAGTCACATACAAAATCATGCCATCTAACAGCCTAACTGGAGTGGTTTCACACATGCAAAGGGGGGTCCTTTGTTTTCCCTCAGAGAGGAGCAGGATCTCTAAAGTCTACCAGTTGGCTTCTTTTAGGACAACTGCCCGAACTTTTTAAGATTGTGGGCCCAGTGAGGTTGCCACCTGGGTAGCTCAGTCGGTTCAGCATTTGCCTTTTGCTTAGGTCATGATTCCACATCCTGCGATCGAGCCCCACATTAGGCTCCCTGCTCAGTGGGGACTCTGCATCTCTCTCCCTCTGCCCCTCCCCCCGACTCATGTTCTTGCTCGCTCTGCTCTCTCTGTCAAATAAATAAATTTAAAAGAAAATCTTCAATAAACAACAACAAAAAAAGATTACAGACCCAATGGTTTGTATCTATCCAGGAAAAGAAAGAAAAGAAAGAAAGAAAAGAAAAGAAAGAAAAGAAAGAAAAGAAAGGAAAGGAAAGGAAGAAGGAAAGGAAAGGAAGGAAAGGAAGGAAAGAAAGAAAAGAAAGAAAAGAAAAGAAAAGAAAAAGAAAGAAAAGAAAGAAAAGAGAAAAAAAAAGAAAGAAAAGAAAGAAAAGAAAAGAAAAAGAAAAGAAAAGAAAAGAAAGAAAAGAAAAGAAAAGAAAAGAAAGAAAAGAAAAGAAAGTGGCAAAGGCAGGCTACTTGTAGCAGCGTCACAGGGTTGGACTTAAGTCAGCAAGAGCCATAGGTAGAAATGAACAGTAAATGGTAGACAATGTAGCCAACAGTTATAAGAGTTTGCAAGCATGTAAGAGACTCTCCCATCCTTCCACCCCCAAAAAAGCCTAAGATGGGAGCAGGGCTCTGATACAGCAATCAAGTCCCAAGCCAATGTGCCACTCTAATTTGGACAGTTAAGGTGAACATAAGCTTAACTCTCCATGCATGCAAAATCCACACATGCTGGTTAGTAAAGAATCATGACATATACCTCATAACAGAGCCTGAGTTATGATTCTACTAGTTAGGTTTCTCTATTCCAGCACAAACCTTTTCCATATTTGGTATTAGAAGATCCATGTAAGATCCAGTTGAAGTTATCCTTACAGATAGACTCCACATAGGTGCGTCTTGTTGCATAAAACAGGATTTTTTCCGTTCTGTTGTTCATCTTCAATTTTTTCCTAATACAGGAAATGTGAAACACCCAGAGCATTCCTCTTCCACTCCAGTTAATGACATTAATCCCAACTAAGGTCTAATCATCTTAAAATTTTATTCCACCCACTTTCAGAATGGAGCTTCTAACATTAATGCACCAGAGGCAAAAAAGTTAATTTATGACTTTTAAATGATAGATAAGTTAAATCAAGGAGTCATAAAACTAAAGCTGAAACAGAGAAGTTGGAGTTTACAAAATGAACAAGACAACTAGACACTGAAGAAACTCTTGACTTAAAATAAACCAGTGGGTAGGTTTTAAAGTGTAGCTCTTAATGAATCCTTTCAAACTTTACATTAAAAAAACCCAAAAAACTCCGAAACCAAAAAACAACCCAATAATGCAGCCACCAACCTTTCAAAAGCATTCAAGAGCTTGGTGTTCTTGATCTTCTTTATGTTTTCAATCTTAAAATTTTTCATGGAAGCTTTAAAAGACTCACTTATCATGACATATTCCGGATTCTGGTTATTGATCTCTACCAACTAAAAAATTTCAAAAATATGTAAAATGTGAAACAGGAGACATTTAAAGCATGCTATGTCCACACATGTGGCCCCCTATGCCATGGAGTACCCTTGCCAGGCCTCTGGTAGCAGGTGGGATAAGCTGGCTTAGGGTTTCCACATCTGGCAGGTCATCTTAGTAATGAACTAGCTGGCACTGGGCCCATCTGCGCAGGCTGACTTCTGGCTAGTGAGGCATTATGCCTAAAGGCAAAAGGATGCCCCCTGGGGGTGTCCAATTTAGTCTAGGGACCTGGTGAGTTCCTCACACCCACAGAAACCTGCCCTTTACCTCCAACTACCAGACAAGGCACTTTTACTCTCTGGCTTTCAGCTTTGTCCTCCATAAAGTGGAGATGATAATATCTATCTCGTAGGGTCTTTTGTAAGGATGTGCCCATAAGAGATTGTGCGTGGCTAGACAATGAGGTGCCCTGTAGAGGGCAACCATTCTCTGGGAAGGTAACACCGTTACCATCTGGATGCCTTTGAATCTTGATCCAAGAATTTTACAGAAACCATTCATTCTTTCATCCAAATACTATACATCCATGGCTAGGTACTTTTCCTCACCTTGAAACAATTTACACACCAAAAGGCAAAAACCAAGTACCTCATATCCATTCAAGCTACAGTCTGGCTGAGGAGGTAGTGTCGAGATTAAAGGCTCTGACAGGGTCTGCATCAGCTGATAGCTACAAAGAAGACAAAGAATTCACTTGGTTCCCTGTTCCATATGCCGGAGTTCCATCCCGAAATTCCAGCCACTAAACCAAGAATTCCCAGAGAATTTATTCTTTGTACTTTATTTTGGATTATATTCTTGCAATATTCCTGGTACAGACATCCTCGTAACCATAGTTCTTTAAAAAAGACAGTCATAAAAAAAAAGTCATTATTCATAATTTGGTAAATTAATGTTATTTTGGATAAAAATTTATATAAATTAACTATAAAGATGTCATACTTGATTTTACACCCATTTTTTTATGAATTTATTTTATTTTTTTTAAATTTTTAAAATTTATTTTATGATAGTCACACAGAGAGAGAGAGAGAGAGAGAGAGAGAGGCAGAGACACAGGAAGAGGGAGAAGCAAGCTCCACGCACCGGGAGCCCGACGTGGGACTTGATCCAGGGTCTCCAGAATCGTGCCCCGGGCCAAAGGCAGGCGCCAAACCGCTGCGCCACCCAGGGATCCCATAAATTTATTTTTTATTGGTGTTCAATTTGCCAACATATAGAATAACACCCAGTGCTCATCCCATCAAGTGCCCCCTTCAGTGCCCATCACCCAGTCACCCCCACTCCCCATCCACCTCCCCTTCCACCACCCCTAGTTCGTTTCCCAGAGTTAGGAGCCTCTCATGTTCTGTATCCCTTCCTGATATTTCCTACTCATTTTTTTCTCCTTTCCCCTTTATTCCCTTTCACTATTTTTTATATTCCCCAAATGAATGAGACCATATAATGTTTGTCCTTCTCTGATTGACTTATTTCACTCAGCATAATACCCTCCAGTTCCATCCACGTCAAAGCAAATGGTGGGTATTTGTCATTTCTAATGGCTGATAATATTCCATTGTATCCAGAGACCACATCTTTATCCATTCATCTTTCGATGGACATGGAGGCTCCTTCCACAGTTTGTCTATTGTGGACATTGCTGCTATAAACCTCGGGGTGCAGATGTCCCAGTGTTTCACTGCATCTGTATCTTTGGGGTAAATCCCCAGCAGTGCAATTGCTGGGTCGTAGGGCAGATCTATTTTTAACTCTTTGAGGAACCTCCACAGTTTTCCAGGAGTGGCTGCACCAGTTCACATTCCCACCAACAGTGCCAGAGGGCTCCCCTTTCTCCACATCCTCTCCAACATTTGTGGTTTCCTGCCTTGTTAATTTTCCCCATTCTCACTGGTGTGAGGTGGTATCTCATTGTGGTTTTGATTTGTATTTCCCTGATGGCAAGTGATGTGGAGCATTTTCTCATGTGCATGTTGGCCATGTCTATGTCTTCCTCTGTGAGATTTCTCTTCATGTCCTTTGCCCATTTCATGATTGGATTATTTGTTTCTTTGCTGTTGAGTTTAAAAAGTTCTTTATAGATCTTGGATACTAGCCCTTTATCTGATACGTCATTTGCAAATATCTTCTCCCATTCTGTAGGTTGTCTTTTAGTTTTGTTGACTGTATCCTTGGCTGTGCAAAAGCTTCTCATTTGGTGAAGTCCCAATAGTTCATTTTTGCTTTTGTTTCTCTTGCCTTCATGGATTTATCTTGCAAGAAGTTACTGTGGCCAAGTTCAAAAAGGGTGTTGCCTATGTTCTCCTCTAGGATTTTGATGGAATCTTGTCTCACATTTAGATCTTTCATCCATTTTGAGTTTATCTTTGTGTATGTGCAAGAGAGTGGTCTAGTTTCATTCTTCTGCACATGGATGTCCAATTTTCCCAGCACCATTTATTGAAGAGACTGTCATTTTTCCAGTGGATAGTCTTTCCTCCTTTGTTGAATATTAGTTGACCATAGAGTTGAGGGTCCACTTCTGGGTTCTCTATTCTGTTCCATTGATCTATGTGTCTGTTTTTGTGCCAGTACCACACTGTCTTGATGAGCACAGCTTTGTAGTACAACCTGAAATCTGGCATTGTGATGCCCCCAGCTATGGTTTTCTTTTTTAATATTCCCCTGGCTGTTCGGGGTCTTTTCTGATTCCACACAACTATTAATTTTGAATGTGTTTTATATAACCACATATCATCCAACAGTGGGGAATCCATCTCCAAAACCGTTCATGAACAATATAGATTTTACTGAGCTTCTTTCTTTCTTTCTTTCATTCATTCATTTCATTCATTCATTCATTTATGACAGACACAGAGAGCGAGGAAGAGACACAGGCAGAGGGAGAAGCAGGCTCCATGCAGGGAGCACGATGTGGGACTCGATCCCAGGACCCCGGAATCATGATGCTCAACCACTGAGTCACCCAGGCATCCCGATTTTACTGAGCTTCATAAGCAGACAGAGGAGAGGGATACTGAATCCTCCACAGCAGAGATTCCTTTAAACAGTCTCTTTTAATCAACTGTATCATGGTCCAAATCTCCTCACTTGGGCGGCTGACACATCCCTCTCTTCTTCCATTTCTTTCTCAGCTGCCTCCCCTCTATAAATCCACTCAGCAAGACTAAAGAACAGAAGAACACACAGCAAAATGAAACCCTTCTGTGCACTTGATCATTTCCGGGGCACACCCATCAATCCAGCCATTCACAGAAGATGCTGAGGCCCAGGTAGGAGAGGCTTGCCCGAATTCCCTGTGAGTCAGAGGGAGATCGAGTTCCTGCTCGCCTACACCTTTGGGCAAGCTATACTGCTTCACGAGTACAGATGATGCAAAAGGAAACTGCCATGTAAAGCAAACAGGAAGATTTCAAGAAAACAGATTCAAGAGTGATTTGGTGAGATCAGTGGGTGAATATCTTAAACATCTGCTGGTAGGCAGTGCTTCAGAACACTTACTTGCTTTTAATCTGCTCCACATCCTTGTACGACATAAAGGTTGGCCTTCTGACAACATCCTTTTGGGTCTTGGAAGCTACATTTGTCTGAATCATCCCTTTAGACAGAAAAAAGACAACAAACAAAAACCAAGAATTAGTCCTAGAAAATGATGTACTGTTATTTTCTGTAGGCTAGTAACACAGCAAATATCACAAGTGAGCTGTAACATGCATGAATAGAGAAAATCCTTCCAGAAGGGGATTGCTCATGATTAAAAACTCATATCCTTTGCTGACTGCCCTTACGATAAGACCCAGAAAACAAAGAGGCAATGAGATGAGCAGTCAGCAATTAATCTAATCTTTAAATCAAGGTCAGATAGTAAAGGGAAGAACTAGGGCAGTCAGATAACAAGACATCATCCATGTAAGCTGCCCTAAACCAGGCATCAATGATTATGGGTTGGAATGTGGTAGCTATATATTGAAGGATCTTTCTAGATCAAGTGTGAAATGTCATTTTCAACTGATGCATGTTGTAGACCCAGGCCAAAGTTGCAGCCAAAGGAGGTTTTTATTTTTTAAAGATTTTATTTATGGGATCCCTGGGTGGCGCAGCGGTTTGGCGCCTGCCTTTGGCCCAGGGTGTGATCCTGGAGACCCGGGATCGAATCCCACGTCAGGCTCCCAGTGCATGGAGCCTGCTTCTCCCTCTGCCTGTGTCTCTGCCTCTCTCTCTCTCTCTCTGTGTGACTATCATAAATAAAAAAAAATAAAATAAAAAAATAAAAAAAAAAGATTTTATTTATTTATTCATTAGAGACAGAGAGAGAGAGAGAGAGAGAGAGAGAGAGAGAGAGAGAGAGAGGCAGAGACACAGGCAGAGGGAGAAGCAGGCTCCATGCAGGGAGCCGGATATGGGACTCGATCTAGAGACTCCAGGATCACACCCTGAGCTGAAGGCAGACGCTCAACCGCTGAGCCACCCGGGCACCCCCAGAAGGAGCTTTTTAAAAAGTAAATCATCTAGGGTGCCTAAGTGGCTCAGCCAGTTGGGTATCGGAGTTTCAGCTCAGGTTGCGATCTCAGGGTGGTAGGACTGGGCCCTATATAGGGCCCTGTGCTCAGCGAGAAGTCAGCTTGGGATTCTCTCTCCTTCTGCCCCTGCCTCCCCCTTCGCGGACAGACTCATGGTCTTTCTCGCTCTCTCAAATTAATAAATAAGTAAAATCTTAAAAAAAAAAAAAAAAAAAAAAAAAAAGAATAAAATAGGGCAGCCCCGGTGGCTCAGCAGTTTAGCGCCACCTTTGGCCCAGGGCCTGATCCTGGAGTCCTGGGATTGAGTCCCACGTCGGGCTCTCTGCATGGAGCCTGCTTCTCCCTCTGCCTGGGTCTCTGCCTCTCTGTGTGTGTGTCTCTCATGAATAAATAAATAAAATCTTAAAAAAAATAGAATAAAATAAAAAGCAAATCATCTTACATGGCTATAGAAAATACAAATGGCATAGCCACTTTGGAAAACAGTTGGGCAGTTTCTTATAAAGTCAAACATACATTTCCTATGTGATCTAGCATTCCCATTCCTTTGTACCCACATAAGAGAAACGAACACTTAAACCCACACAAAGACTTGCATTGAAATGTTCCTAGTAGCATTATTCTAATAGTCAGAAAGTGAAAACAATCAAAATACATCAACAGGTGAATGGATAAACAAACCATGGTATAGCCTTATAATGAAGTGTTACTAGGCATTGAAAAGGGAAGAATTACTGTATAAGCAACAACACAGGTGGGTCTAAAAAACATTCTGAGTGAAAGAAGTCAGCCACATGCAGAGTACATGCCACAGGATGCTATTTACATGATGTTCTAGAATAGATACAACTAATCTATGGTGACAGAGAGCAAATGGGGATAGGAAGAGACCAGTTGCAAAGGGGCAGGAGGAAACTTGGACTGATGGGAATGCTCTAGATCTTGATCAGGATAGCAGTCACATGCACTTTGTCCACACTCATACAACTGCACACTTAAAATGGAAGCATTTTATCGAAGCAATTATGCTTCAGTAGAGTTGATGTAAAGTGAAACAAACATAAACAATAAAAAGATAAAATGAGATGGTGTGGAGCACCTGGGTGGCTCAGTCAATGAAGCATTTGACTCTTGATTTCGGCTCAGATCATGATTCCAGGGTCACAAGATCTAGCCCCAGTCCAGCTCCTCACTCAACAGAATCTGTTTTACTCCCTCTCCCTCTGCCCTTCCCCCTGCTCATACACGTACATTCTCTCTCTCAAATAAATAAATAAATCTTTTTAAAAGATTTATTTATTTATTTGAGAGAGACACATAGAGAGAGAGAGAGGGAGGCAGAGACATAGGCAAAGGGAGAAGTAGGCTTCTTGCAAGGAGCCTGATGCGGGAGTCTATCCCAGGTCCCCGGGATGACCTGAGCTGAAGGCAGATGCTCAACTGCTGAGCCACCCAGGTGTCCCAAAATAAATAAATCTTAAAAAAAGAATAAAGAGGAAGAGAGAGATGTTGCCACAATTCTGCTCCACACCTTGCAGCACTCCCATCTCTTACCAGCCTTCCCACTGTTCTATGAAACCAGCTTGTCTGCAGGTTTGGGGGGCCCTGCTTCCCATGTGCATGGGCTGCTCCCTTCCTTCCACAGTCTCTTCCTGGGATAAAACTAGATACTCTCAGGGATCCCTGGGTGGCTCAGCGGTTTAGTGCCTGCCTTCGGCCCAGGGCATGATCCTGGAGTCCTGCGATCGAGTCCCACATCAGGCTCCCTGCATGGAGCCTGCTTCTCCCTCTGTCTGTGTCTCTGCCTCTCTCTCTCTCTCTCTCATGAATAAATAAATAAAATCTTAAAAAAAAAAAAACCTAGATACTCTCCTAGATTCTCTGGCTTCTTCACCACACTGCTTCATTTTCCCCAGAGCTATTATTGCTTTCAGAAATTGCCTGCTGCCCGCATCTAGAACAGGGCAGAGCTGCGACTCCAATACTAGTTTAATGAATGTCAGAATATAAGAAATGGGGGGAAATTGCCTGGAATACCACAAACTGCTCTGGACTAGTTTCTATGAACCAGGTGAACAAAATTGCCAGTCAAATTTCTTCAGATTTGGGGAACAAGGTACATTATTGGTTCTCCCCACTCCATCACCTTTCTTTTTTTAAAGATTTATTTATTTATTTATAATAGACATAGAGAGAGAGAGGCAGAGACACAGGAGGAGGGAGAAGCAGGCTCCACGCCAGGAGCCCGACACGGGACTTGATCCCGGGACTCCAGGATCGTGCCCTGGGCCAAAGGCAGGCGCCAAACCGCGAAGCCACCCAGGAATCCCCTCCATCGCCTTTTTAAATTGCCAAAGCAATAGAATAATATCCAAAGAAAAAAAAATTTTATTTAAGCCATTCTTAATCTCACCATCCAACAGAAGAGATTTCTTTTTTTTTTTTTAAAGATTTTATTTTTTTATTCATGAGAGACCTAGAGAGAGAGGCAGAGACCCAGGCAGAGGGAGAAGCAGGCTCCATGCGGGGAGCCCGATGCAGGGTTCAATCCCAGGACCCTGGGGTCACGTCCCAAGCCGAAGGCAGACGCCCAACTGCCGAGCCACCCAGGTGTCCCCAACAGAAGAGATTTCTGTTTCTTCCTACTCTCTTCTGTTCTTGGTCCACATGCATACATTGTTGCCTTTACCATGCATATTACATTTATTTATTGATTTTTAAGATTTTATTTATTTATTTATTTATGAGAGACACAGAGAGAGGCAGAGACACGGGCAGAGGGAGAAGCAGGCTTCCTGCAGGAAGCCTGATGTGGGACTTGATCCTGAATCCCGGGATCATGCCCTGAGCTGAAGGCAGATGCTCAACTGCTGAGCCCCAGGTGTCCCCATATTACATTTAAAAAAAATATTTTATTTATTTATTCATGAGAGACACAGAGTGAGAGAGAGGCAGAGACACAAGCAGAGGGAGAAGCAGGCTCTATGCAGGGAGCCCGACATGGGACTCGATCCTGAGACTCCAGGATCACGCCCTGGCCAAAGGCAGGCGCTAAACCACTGAGCCACCTAGGCTGCCCCCCACATATTACATTAAAAAACAAACAAACAAACAAAAAAAACAACTTTCCATTTGAAAAAAAAGAAAACCTTTTCATTTGAATACAACATCTAAAAAGAAAGGCACAAAAACATACATTTGGAGGTTTGCCTTTTTCACTTAACAATATTAAATTTTGCTTTTACTGTGCAGGTTTCATAATCAAAAATTTTAACCAATACTCTACTAAAATTTAATACTAATTGGTTTGGTCACTATGCTAGTACCCTAAAGGACATACCTCTACTGTAGTATGTCAAATAGGCTTTACTAAAAATCTTCATGCTCATCACTTTCCTTTTCCTTCTGGTGAATTCACCAGAATTCTAATTATTCCCTTAGAAAGATTCCTAAGAGAATGAAAAGCAAGCATAGTTTAACATTTTTTAAGTAGGCTCCATGCCCAACATGGGGCTTGAACTCACAATCCTGAGATCAAGAGTCGCATGCTTTACTGACCAAGCCAGCCAGGTGCCCCAAAGTAAACATATTTTAATATCTCTTGATATGTAGCACCAGATTGCTTTCCAAAATACAGCAGCTGGTCTGATGTTCTTCAAGCTACATTACCTAATACACAGTAATTGGCACAGGGCCCGAAGCAACCTGGAATGTCAAGGACCTGAGAAAGTCTTCTTTACCTCTTTCAAAGCACCTGTAGGGATCCTGAAAGGGCAACTATCTGACCATATGCGATGAAGTGTGCCAGGGTGCAGCTGGTGAGATAGTATATTCGGAGGGAGGCCAGTTCCTGCCCTGATTTCTTACTAAACACAATTGATTGGTAGAAGCTAAGCTGACGGCCTTCCCGTGGAGCTCAAATCAACATGGTGGAAGGCAAAGTCTTTAGAAAAGGTGATGGATAAAACCACTAATCTAGATGATGAAGCCCAAAATGAACAGCAAGGTTCTACAATTCTGAAGGCACCCATTGGACCAAGGTCTCTACTGGAGTCACCAGCCCCTGAACTTCTGCCTCGGCCTGGGATAGAGCCCATCCAGAATCAGAAACTTAGAATGGCCGAGCTAGAAGTACCCCTTAGAGACCACTTCATCCCCTGCCCTCATTTCATAGAGAGAGAACAGTGGCCTAGAGAGGCCAGGTGCTGTTCCCTGCATTACATACTACTATGTGGTCAGAGCCAAGGCTCTTGAGCACAGGCCTCTGCTGACAGCCACTGGCTTCCACCCCATCATACTTCATACCTTACTAAAAAGAATCGTGATCCTGGGTACAGCATGCACCTCCACTCTGCTCCCACTCCCACCACATGCCAGATTCGAATTAACAGGCACCACTACCAAATGCGAAGTCTCACCTATAAAACTCAGCTCGTAGTTCCGTGAACCCGCCTGAAATGGCACAATTCCCCTTGGATACAATAGAAAGAAGGACTCCAGGTAGGAAGAGTCGATGTTTGAAGCTTCCTGATTACCAGCCTAAAAATAAATAAATAAACAAACAAACAAACAAACAAACAAATAAATAAAGATACTTCAGGGTAGGCTTTTAAGAAATCTCTATCATATGTCTTATACAACTGTACTTCAGCCATGGGATTTGAACTGGAATGCATCTTGCCTCCCAAACCAGACTGTAAAGGCTGCCAGGTGGAGGCCATGTCACATCCTCTTGTAGTATCCCCATCATGGAGCTAGAAGACAACCGCCTACCTTGCAGAAATGGACTATACACTCAGGGGATGCCTGAAAAATGGAGCTCGTTGCAATATCCTTTTTATACCTTCTATAAAATATGACCTTAGCGTACAGAGCAACTGACACCCACGGTACAGAAATCATGTCTGCCCTTGCCGTCTAACAGAATCCAACACTCTGGCATCGAGTAGAACATGGTAGCTGTTTTTAGGATATCACATGTGAGAATGCAGTTTCCAGTGGGTGTGCTGCTGTCCAAACGTAAACGACCTCCCTCTTCTCTGCCCTGAACCAGAGTAAGCAAATAAAATGGACCGATCCCCCAGTCAGTCAATAACACTGCAAAAGCATCTGGATTTGCCACTCACTGTGGCTATTAAGAAAGAGGCACGGAACACCACCCCACAAATGTAGGGATACAATCTCTGCTCTCAAGGTCTGTACAAAGGGGTAAACATCAGGATGAGTGGGTAAAGGTAAGTGTTGATTCTAGCAGACACAAGCTAGGCCACCACTCCACGGTCCACACGCCAATGCAGGGAGTGGCAGACCAGGGCAGATCGGATGTAAGCCCTAATAGCACGGGTTCCCGATATTTCATGGCGAAGAGACACTCGTTGTTTATGATCTAGAATGGAGGAGCTAATGACAGCAAATTCGCAGCTGGTGGCAGGGAGAGGCTCCCTGTCCCTTTAATGAGACTGTGGGCTCTGCAGCTTTCAGCTACACCTCTGCCCTTCCCCGGTGAACATGCCGGCTGGATGTAAGGGGAGGGGGCCGCAATGAGCCTCCGAAGGAAATGTCCTGGATGGAGAAGGGCCTGAACTAGGTCTCTTCAGCCTGGAGAGGAATATGGTGAGGGCAGATGTCTGCACAGTGCAAAGTGGGAATAAACGAGAAAGGGGTTCAAAAGGTAGAAATGGGACAAACAGGTGGAAGTGACAAGAAAGCTACCTTTAGTAGAACTTTCTAAGCTATAGATCCTAAGTCACACCATGAAGAGGTTTGCTGCAACAGCTGCTGGGACATTATCCACCAGGATAATTGTAAACGAGATTGGCATCCTCAGGGGGCAGGAGGAAATGAGGTGGCCGTGATTAGATGATGTGCGGGTGAGCCACGTGCCTTCCTAGGACCCCAAAGAGCAGATGATGTGGGCAAATGCCTACAAACACAGGGGGCAGTGAGTCACCTCTGGGGACTCTGGGCTGCCATCTCAAATCACTGTCCTGATTTCCCTTTTTTTGTTGTTTTGAAAGGTTTTATTTATTTATTCACGAGAGACACACAGAGAGGCAAAGACATAGGTAGAGGAAGATGTAGGCTCCCCCAGGACCCTGAGATCATGACCTGAGCCAAAGGCAGATGCTCAACCACTGTGAGCCACCGAGGTGTCCCCTAACTTCCCATTCTGACAGCTGACGTTATGGGACATCTGAAGGCCAGCTCAGCAGAGCCAGTTCCAGGCTGGAAGGATAATCTACAACTCTAGGCCAGGCCTTTCAAACTCTAATTTGTGTGTGAATCACCTGGGAATCCAGTTAAAAAGCAGATCACAGAATACAAATTTAGGGAAAGGGTATTTAATTCTCCCAAAGGGCTCCCAGGGTGCCCACGTTGCTAGCCTGAGGGCCTGACTTTGCTGGCAAGGCTTTTGGGTCTAGATCAGGCTTGTCCCCTGGAATTTTCTGGAACATTTCACTGGACACATCCTCTATGTTTTCCTATATGATAGCCACTAGCTCCATGTAGCTGTAGAGCACTTAAATGTGATGAGTGTGACCATGGAACTGAAGTATTCATTTTATTCAAATTTAATTAATTGAAGTTTAAAATGAAATATCCGGGCAGCCCGGGTGGCTCAGCGGTTTAGCTCTGCCTTCAGCCCGGGGCCTGATCCTGGAGACCTGGGATCAAGTCCCACGTCGGGCTCCCTGCGTGGAGCCTGTTTCTCCCTCTGCCTGTGTCTCTGCCTCTCTCTCTTTCTCTCTGTGTCTCTCATGAATAAATAAATAAAATCTTTAAAAAATAAATAAAAAGTTTAAAAAAATAAAATAAAATAAAATAAAATAAAATAAAATAAAATAAAATAAAATGAAATATTCAAGGGATCCCTGGGTGGCTCAGCGGTTTCGCTCTGGCTTTGGCCCAGGGCTCGATCCTGGAGTCCTGGGATCAAGTCCCACCTGGGGCTCCCTGCACGGAGCCTGCTTTTCCCTCTGCCTCTCTTTCTCTCTCTCTCTCATGAATAAATAAATAAAATCTTTAAAAAATAAAAAATGAAAATAAAAAAAAATGAAATAGCCACCACAAGTGGCTGGTGGTTGTCATACTGGACAGGACTAGGCAATTCCAGTGTCTGAGCATTTGGACAGCCTAGCGTGGTTCAGGCCCTTCCTTCACACTGTACTCCAGTTCTGAATAAGTGAAGGAGTGATGATGAGCGGTAGAGCCCTCAATGATTTATTCTCCCTAAAGACGTGAATGTGTGTCTCCACTGCAGTAACCAAGTCTTGACTTTTGTCCTGTTCCCACATGACTGCCTTGATCTTGGTTTCTAGAGCTCTCATCCATGGACTCCTGCCCCTCAACACCAGCTATCAGAGCTACTAACCTCAGCTCCCAGTTAGTAAACATCCCTGGTGGGCTGGATCTGCAGGCACTGCCTGATGCAAACCCCAGGAAGACCTGCCCTGCCGTCATTCCTGCTGTCACTCTGTCCTGCACCACTGCTGCCCACCTGCCCAACTACTCAACCATCACTCTTCCAATGCCACATCCTCTCCCTGCCTACCATCTGTGTAGGGACAAGTCCTGGCTAAGTGCCTTAATTTCCATAAAATGATATCAAGTCTACATTCCAGAGAGTTCACAGTCAAAGCATATGTACTTACCCTTGGCTGGCAAAAGCTGTTCTCCCAGTTTCTACTGGGGAGGTTACTTTTTTTTTTTTTTATAAATTAATTTTTATTGGTGTTCAATTTACCAACATACAGAATAACACCCAGTGCTCATCCCGTCAAGTGTCCCCCTCAGTGCCCGTCACCCACTCACCCCCACCCCCCGCCCTCCTCCCCCTCCACCACCCCTAGTTCATTTCCCAGAGTTAGAAGTCTTTATGTTCTGTCTCCCTTTCTGATATTTCTCACACATTTCTTCTCCCTTCCTGGGGAAGTTCCTGACCCAGAAATCTTAGCTGCCCCAACTCTTACTAAAAATTCAATTACAAGAAATAAAACCTGCAGGACTCTCCCTGTCTGAAGGCTATGCAGTCCACTCTTCTCTCTAAATATTCTAACCTCTACACTGGATCAAACCAGGCTATCAAAGAGCTGCAGACTTGACCCATCCATACACACTGAACTCTGAAAGAAACCAGGCTGCTCCTTCTCTTGTGGTTCAAATCTCCTAGACCGACCAATTTTTATGTCATTGGGACAGACAGCAAGGAAAACACTAAACCTACAGCCTGTTTTCCTTCTTCTTTTTTTTTAAATAGCAGAAGAGCCAACTCAAATTTATGTAATAATGGGTCTAATTAATGAAACGATAATAATTTATTCAAATCACCCAGAACAGGGGATCCCTGGGTGGCGCAGTGGTTTGGCGCCTGCCTTTGGCCCAGGGCGCGATCCTGGAGACCCGGGATCGAATCCCACATCGGGCTCCCGGTGCATGGAGCCTGCTTCTCCCTCTGCCTGTGTCTCTGCCCCTCTCTCTCTCTCTCTCTCTCTGTGACTATCATAAATAAAAAAAATAAAAAAAACAAAACAAATCACCCAGAACATGTGCCACAGATTAAATGAATCCAACAACATTTCACGTGTTTGCATCAAGTTCCAAGTTATGTTCTAGGACTTTGCATTTAAAACAGATTGAATGTCCCATGGAGAACTTTGTGTCAAGTAGTTTGTTGCGTTTTAAAAATGATTTTATTTATTTATTTGAGAGAGAGAGATAGAGAGTGTGAGAGAGAGCATGAGCAAGGGGGAGGGGCAGAGAGGAAAGCAGGCTCCCCTCTGAGCAGGGAGCTCAATCCAAGGCTAGGTCCCAGGACCCCAGGATCACAACCTGAGCCAAAGGCAGATGCTTAACTGACCTACGTGCCCTGTATCAAGAAGCTTTATTGGATGTTGCTTGATATTTTACTAGGGAACACGAGCAATGGAATTTGTGTACGTTTAAATATCATCTATTCCCCACCGGCATTTTTCCTTGGTCTCCAGGACCCCTGAGGTCACGCAAATGCAAATCTTTTCCAACCTTCTTCCCATCTTACTGAAAAGTAAGTATTTGCCAGTATTTGACACATGAACCACCGAAGCATATAGTTTATTTTTATTTTAACCAAGGCTAATTGAGTTTATAATATCTATTTCCACAGTCAACTCACAGGATCACATTTACAGAATTGCCCTCTGACATCATCCTTGGCTTGACCATGGAAACAACCTGTACGATGCTCAACGTCAGGGGGGTTGTCACACCATATTGCTCCACAAGCCACCACAGGAGAGAGAAGAGCAAAGGGGACAGACACCAAGAGACCAGGCTCTGAGCCCCTCTCCCCCGTGCCACAGGCAGCTCTGCTCTACTCCCGTCTGTCTATCCGGGTTCTGTGAACGGTTGTTTGATGGCATGGATGTGCTGCTAGGACAGTGGGGAAACCACTGCACTACGTGGAGTCAGTAGGGCTCATGGGGAGGACCTCACTGGCTGCAGCATATGTGCTCTCCTCTCTGTAGCCCCAAAGGAGAGGTCTTCCTCAGGCTCCACCAACAGAAAAAAGCAATGCTTCTCCTGAGGAATTGGTGTGTTCTTCCCAAAGAGGCACAGGTGAGCCTTGACAGATGGCGTTTCTCTGTGTGCTTTGGAAGCAAGGCGGCTCACAGCCAAACTCAGGGCCCAACAGTTTCTTTTGCTGGCATTTCATTGTCCTGTTTCAGCTTTGGCTGCATTTTTTTTTCTCTTCAATTTTTGTTTATTTACTTATTTTTAAGTAGAACCACACCCAGCGAGCCTGACATGGAGCTTGAACTCATGAACAAGACCTGAGCTGAGATCAAGAGCTGGGTGGACGCTTGACCAACTGAGCCACCCAGGCACCCTGGCTTTGGCTTCATTTTAATCTCTCGCTTTCCTTTTTTCTTTCTTATCGCTCTCATCTCATTGCCTTCTCTCTCTCTCTCTTTCTCTCTCTCAATTTAATCCTGTGAATCAAAGAGAGGAAGAGACACTAGATAGAAGCCGTGCTTATCTGAACTTCTATGGTCTGTTACTGTGTCCCTCTGTGGGTAAGCCAGTTCCAGCCTTCAAATCCATCTGAATCCAGAATCCTAATGACCATCTACCAGTCTTCTGATTTCTCACCCTGCCTGCTGTGCTCCACTGGCTGGAAGCAGTAGTCTCTGTACATTTACAAACTAACACAGAGGAAGCTAGCTCAAGGTTCCACCTCAGTCCCTGATCATGAAGAAAGAAGGGTACTGAAAATAATTCATAGATGCTGTCACTTATGACAGCAATCAGAGTAGACACTTGCTGGGGCCCCTGGGTGGCTCAGTGGTTGACCATATGTCTTCAGCTCAGGTCATGATCCGGGTCTGGGAATTGAGTCCCACATCGGGCTCCCTGCAGGGAGCCTGCTTCTCCCTCTGCCTGCCTGTGTCTCTGCCTCTCTCTCTGTGTCCCATGAATAAATAAATAAAATCCTTAAAAAAAAAAAAAAGGGTAGATGCTTACTAAGAAAAATGCAAATAAAGCTGTGTATAACGTGAAAAAGTATGACTTCCTCTACTATACCAGTGTTCTATGGGTAACCAATTAGGCATCAAGCATTTTATCATTAGTTTTTTTTTTTTTTTTGGATTTTATCATTAGTTTTATCTGGAAGTATCAAGTCTAAACTAGAGCCTCCACAAAGAGGAATGGTACTCACCTCCTCCCCATATTGAACCCATATGTCTGATTCTTTCTTCCAGTACCAAATCCATTTTGTGGCAAAGACAAAATTGGTCAGTGTCGTGACAGATGAAGGCGTGGAGATGCGTCGGATAGGAATGGAATCACAAGTCATTTTCTGGAAATCGATGCTTTTATTTCCAATAGAAAAGCTGAGAGGGAAAAGTTGAAAGTTAACAGCGTACTTTACTGAACTTGATCTTCTACAATCTGGTCTTCCCTAACAAAAGCACAGAATTAAGATCTTAGAGACGACAGGGAACTTCAAATTTTCTTTATACAACTCCAGGTCTTATATACCAAAGAAGAAAAAAACTGAAATGCAGAGAGGATGGGTAAGTTACTTGTCCCATAGAGTTAATCATGTCACAAAATATAATCCATCCTCAACAAATATGTCAGGGTAAAATGTGCCCACAAAACAAAGGATTGGCTCAATGTTAGAAACTCATGTGGGTAAGTTTTCTCAAGTATTATCACTTAATTAGTTACACTATGTGGTCTGAGACCTTTGCAGGAAGTTATTTTCATAATAACACTAAGACATGATTTGCCTTTTCACTTTCATACTTTCATAGGTGCACAGTGGAGTCTGCCAGAGGCTACATGATGTTGTGATTCTACAACAGATGAAAGAGGTTTGCCAAAGTATAAAACAATGTCCATTCTTCTGAGGGAATATCTTGGTTTCATTTTGGAAAAGTTATTATTTAATTATATGTACATATATAGCTATTACATATAACTATTTATAACTATATAAGCATAGTTATATAAAAATATGGTATTTATGTTACCATGTAATGAATTTATTATTGTTATTTTTCAATGAATCCATAAATACTGAATTTTTCTCGGTTTTGATTTTTAATATGGTAAACGTTGACAGCTATAATTCACAGAAACAGAAATTATTTGGGATCCTCAATGTATTTTAGGATACAAGGGTCCGGGATCCCTGGGTGGCGCAGCGGTCTGGCGCCTGCCTTTGGCCCAGGGTGCGATCCTGGAGACCCGGGATCGAATCCCACATCGGGCTCCCGGTGCATGGAGCCTGCTTCTCCCTCTGCCTATGTCTCTGCCTCTCTTTCTTTCTCTCTCTGTGACTATCATAAATAAATAAAAATTAAAAAAAAAAAAAAGGATACAAGGGTCCTGAGACCAACAAGTTTGAAAACTATTGCTCTAAGAAACACCCACCAAATCAGTAGTTCTCAATGAGGAATAGTTTTGCCCCGCAGAGGACATTTAACAATGTTGAAAGAGATTTTTGGTTATCACAACAGGAATCCAGTGGATAAAGGCCAAGAATGCTGCTAAACTGCCTCCTGAAAACAAAATCACTATGTAGCCCCAAAATTTAATAGTGAGAGGTTGAGGAAGCCAGCTTCAGATTTACCTGGGGGGTGGTGGTGGGGGGAAACACACCTCCAAACAAGAAAGTGGCTGATGCTACCCTCTAGTGGCAAAATGCAGTAACACAGAATCTCTACCAAAAATTCACTCTAAGAGGATGGAATGTACGCAATCCTTCCCTCCAATATATACACAAAATTTCCTTATAAGAGAAAGGAAAAAAGAAGAAAAGAGGAAGAGAAGGAAGAAGAGATGGAGGAAACAGAATTGTAAATACAGAAAACAAAATTAATGTTGCCAGAAGGGAGAGGGTTGGACGATGGGCAAAACAGGTGAGGGGTAGTAAGAGGTACAAACTTCAGTTATAAAATAAGTCAGTCACGAGGATGAAAAGTACAACATAGGGAATAAGGGAAAAAAGAACTTACTTTATAAAACTAGGATGCACCTTATAAATATAGTCATATGTGGTATCACCCAGTTCATCACTGGCAGAAACAGAAATATAAGGTATCCCCTTAGATACCTCCAAGATAGAGAAAATAGCAAACATAAAGAAAGACATAAAATGCTCAAGTAGACAACAACATTCTGCACGAGAACTATATGAAATTACTCAACTCGTGTTCTACAGCTATCAAATTAAGCCAGAGGCTCTTTTGACCTATAATCACCATACTTATAATAGTCCTGTTGTGAGTTTACAGTATTACAAACTGACCTCTGCAATGTGTTTTTTTGCAGGACACCCTGAGGATAACTGTTCATATCACACGAATCAGCAAAGAGTCTCAGAACCCCTAGTATATCGGCCAGGTTCTTTGTGACTTCAAATCTGGCTCGTGTTTTTTTTTTTCCTTCATGAATTTAGGAGGCATCTGACATTTTTTATCTCAAGAGTTACCTGAAACTTGAATGGGATTCTGAAGGAAATTTTTTTTTCCTCTTGCCATATGCCCAGCACTATGCTTTCTTTTGATGATGTTGTGGATCTCAAAAGCCAGAGTCTGGCCACCAACTTACATGCGGATTTGGGGGTCACAATAGGCCTTCTCAATATTTTCCATGGGCTGGAGGTCCATCCAGGTGTTTGCAAAGAACATCTGCCAGCGGTAGGGCAGGTGGAAATGAACTTTGTTGCAGTTCTCTACAAAGACAGAGAGGAAGTCTGAGGGTCTGTTGAGTGGCGGTTCTTTTTTTTTATTTTTTTATTTTTTTTTATTTATTTATGATAGTCACAGAGAGAGAGAGAGAGGCAGAGACACAGGCAGAGGGAGAAGCAGGCTCCATGCATCGGGAGCCCGACGTGGGACTCGATCCCGGGCTGCCAGGATCGTGCCCTGGGCCAAAGGCAGGTGCCAAACCGCTGCGCCACCCAGGGATCCCCTGAGTGGCGGTTCTAACCAATTCAACCAAGTTCACTGCTGCCTTTCCCCCACTGAGGGCTGCCTTTCCCGCCATGCTGCACCTGCATGCGAGCACACTTCCTTCCAGTCTATGCCTTTGCCCATGCTGATTCCTGCCTACACCACCCCATAGCTCCAGCTTCCCTTGTCACCAATAGAGACTCACCAGAAAACAAAGCTCCCCACTCCCCAGAGTCACTCTATCCACATGGAAATCTGACGTCATTACAAATGTATGGTTACCCCTCCTGCACCCCCAAGGGGTACATGGAGACAAATTACTCTCTAGTGTCCACAGCTGTATGCATTTTCTTGAAGCCCTGGCTTAAGATTCGGTTCTTCCAGAAAGATTCCCTCACTCATCTCACTCTGTCCTGATCTGACTTGTAATTTGTATTCCCTTAGCCAGTACTCAGGACCCAGTTGGTACTTAGGTTATTTATGTATCTACTTATCTTATGCAGTTTTCTCATTAGTGGGTGCTTTGATGCCACCTCGACGACAAACCCACTGAAAAAAAGTTGGCATCATTGTGCGACAGGACATGAACTGTGAAAGCATGTTGGCTGGATACTTTTTTTTTTTTTTTGTCTTTCATTTGTTTGCTTTTAGTATATGAAAAGATGGGTCCTTGACTAAGTACAATAATATTGCACCTGAAACTGAACTGCAAAAGGAGAAAGTATAATACTATACCGGGGCAAAGAACACAGGATAGGTGGGCAATTGAGAGTCAAAAGTCAACTTGGCCACTTGTGTATGTGAGGTCTTAAGCTCTCTGTGCCTCTAGTTTCCACATCTTAAAATGGGTTAACCATAGAACTTACTTCCAGGCTTGATAGGACATTTAAGGGCAATACACCTAGGGTTCTTGGCAACGTACCAAACATACAGTAAATGCTCAGGAAATGTTGGCTTCTAGAAAGCCTTTAAGTTACTCACCAGTTTGACAACCCTTACACAGGTAGTCAAGACAAATTTCCTGTGGGTCACAGTCATGCATCCTGGAAGAGCTGGTACTACCAACGTCAAATGCAGAATCTATAAAACAAAAGGTGTGTGTATGCTGATCTTAGTGTTTAGACCAAAAATCAAGAGAACCTGATCTCATAATGGGAAAGAGTATCTGTAACTGGCCCCATGTTTAAGAAAATTGCAAATTCACGCGTTGCTCATGAGAGCCTAGATAGCCCCTCCATAAAAGCACACATGGACCATCAGAAAGGATGAAATACCTGCCACTTGCTTCAACATGGATGGAACTGGAGGGTATTATGCTGAGTAAAGTAAGTCAATCGGAAAAAGACAATTATCATATGGTTTCACTCATATGGGGAATAGAAGAACTAGTGAAAGGGACCGTAAGGGAAGGGGGAGAAACTGAGTGGGGAAAAATCAGAGAGGAAGACAAACCATGAGAGACTCCTAACTCTGGGAAACAAACGAAGGGTTGCAGAAGGGGAGGTGCATGGGGGATGGGTACTAAGGACGGCACTTGATGGGATGAGCACTGGGTGTTAATACTATATGTTGGCAAATTGAATTTAAATTTTAAAAAAAAGCAAATGTGGATCTTAGGGTCATGTGAGAGTTATGTTTATTTTTTTAAACCATGACTAAACTACTCCTGTGCTCAGGAAATGTGGCAGCTAACTCCCCATGATTCAACTGTTGGCACTTTGGCCTTCAGGTCAGTCTCCTCACCAGTATCACCCCTCAACCAAACCCTCCAACTCTGCCCTTTAGTGACTACTGGGAAACGTCCAGAGAGAGGCCACCAGCTGTAACTGTTCTGCAGCAGACACAAGACCTGGCCCCCTGCTTCATCCCTCAGTGACTTACATGGAGCACATCTTGGGGTCCTTGCAAACTCACTGGCAGGGCTAACTGGGGTCTGGGCAGAGTTCTGACCATGGCTTGCATAGGTTGCAGCTCTGGTGCCTGAGGAGGACATGGAAAGTGGCATCTCAAACCAAGTGCGCACTTGTACTGTGGGGACAGTGGTCTCCTGTGGTGTTGGCAGGACAAGGGTGTCCAGGTTCTGACTCTCAAAGCAGAATGCATTTTTATCTCCTCTGAAGGTCAGTGTTAAGTAAAAACCAGGGGATCCCTCGGTGGCTCAGCAGTTGAGCACCTGCCTGCCTTCAGCCCAGCGCGTGATCCTGAGGTCCCAGGATCGAGTCCCACATCAGGCTCCCTGCATGGAGCCTACTTCTCCCTCTGCCTGTGTCTCTGCCTCTCTCTCTCTGTGTGTTTCTCATGAATAAATAAATAAAATCTTTGAAAAAAAAAAAGTCAAAACCAGAGGCACCAGTACTGACACTGGGGGGCTTCCCCCCACAACTTGACTAGAGCCGTCTAGTGTGCCGTGGACAGATTTACTGGCCCAAGGTGGCTTCACCTTACCGTTAGCAGGTGCCGCTGCTGGATCATCACCACCCATAACTGTGCCAGTGGTCTGGACATTACCGGGAGGAGTTCCCGCGTCCTGATTCCGAGGTAACGATTTTTCTCTCTGTCCTCTGGTTGTGGTTTTGTAATTTAAAGATCTTGCAGAAGTTCCATCCGTGGCCATTCCATCAACGTTGTTATTAAAAAGCAGGAAATACTGGGCATTTTGATTGCTACCGCTGGCCTCAGCGCTCACGCCGTCTGGGGAAAGCAGGCCTGTGCTCTTTCTGGTGGTCATGGTTTCAGGGGTTTGTAGAGAACCTACAGAGCCAGAGGTGGCCTTACTCCAGGAAAACACAGACTCTCTACTGGTGCCTTTGTCATTCAGCCGGGAGTCAGGGCCCTTCCGGTTGGAGGCAGGCGTCGAATCAGAAGGAAAGAAAATGCTACCTTGATGCCCATAAAAGAGATCCTCTGGACTGCCGTTCTCTGAAAACTGCCGGCTTCCTCCCACTTGACCTGTTCCTCTGAGATTATTGGCCTTAGGTGAGACCGGGGAAGGCTGAGGGCAATCCTGACTTCCCAGACGCCCAAACTTGTGGGCCAGATCCTCAACGGGCACATTATCCAGGGGAGGCCTGTGGCCCACTGGATCTGGACTGGACGAGCAGGACTTCTGAGCAGGAGCTGGAGCAGATGAAAGAAATTCTGTACTGCCCTGAAATGATCGGTCTCTGCTCTTGCTTCTACCTCTGTATGCCTTGTCTCTAAGATAGGAGGGAGGAGCTAGGAAAAGAAAAACCAAACAAGGAGAATGAGCATTAGCATGTTTGGGTTCTCGCCACTGTTCCTCCTCAGCTTTTCCAAGTTTGCGATCTACATTCCATCAAAATCACGTGTCCCAATCTGGTGTGTAAAAGTCTTGGGAAAGGTGTTAAAGATGAAGGAGGAATCTGCTATTCTGCTAGCAGAGCAGGAAACACTCTGCCCCCATGGCCCAGTCAGAGTGACCCTGGCTGGTCTCAACTTCTCTCCTGGGCCTCGGATGTAACCCCAAGCCCCCAAGGTCTTAGCTGGGGGTGTCCACTATGCTCTGGTTCCCATCAACATTCACCACTCTGAGGAATGGAGATGCAGACTAGTGCAGGTCAGGGAGGATTTTCCAAGTCATTTAGGTTTTGCCCATGTTGTCGAAGGTCCCCCAACAAACTAAGGATTCACACACACACAAGAAATAAATTAAAATAAAAATGAAACCACAGTAAAAAGGTCTGATTTCATTTAAACTAGAAATCTTTCCAGAGTTCATCTAGTCCCCAAATATCCAAGCTTAGGTGAGAGATATCAAGAAGAATTAGCCTCTCTCAAGAAAGTTGATGAGTCCCTGGGGAAGAGGAGGGAAGGAGTGGGCACGGGTGCTTTCAAGTGCGTGTGAAGTGTGTATGTGTGGTAGGCACGTCTGTCACATTTCTGTGTGGTGTGTATTGTGCTGGGTGTGCATGCACACATGAGGTGTATATGTGTATAAGATATACATATGCAGTGTACGTGTGTGAGACGTCAGTAAGATGTGAGTGTAGTGTGAAGTATGTATGCATGTATGGTGTGAATGCATGTGTGTTTGTGTGTGGTGTGTACAAGTGTGTGGTACGTATGCCTGTATGTGGTGTATGTGTGTTGTGTGTGCATGTGTGGCATATAAGCTGGCTATTATATGTGTGGGGAAGGGCAGGAAGAGGGCCCTTCTCTTCCAAACTCAAAGGGCAGGGGTAATAGAGTAAAAGCAAACATCCTTCTCCTGCCAACAAAATAATTAATCAAGTAAATTAACCAGAAGGGATAATACATAAGATCTCTCTCACATACCATGAATTTATATTGGGAAACTACACCAGAACACATCCCTCCAGGTGTTCCCCTGTTCAGAGAGCATTACAATGTGGGAGAAAATACACCAGATGAGGGAGCAGAACACGTAAACTCTGCCACTATCTAGTGGTGTGAGGCCTTGAAAACATCTCTTCTATTTATTCATAGTAAAAATGATTTAAGGCTGCTTCCAATAAAAGTCATTTAAGAGACACCTGGGTGGCTCAGCGGTTGAGCTCTGCCTTTGGCTCAGGATGTGATCCCAGGATCCCAGGATCGAGTCCTGCATCGGGCTCCCTGCGTGGAGCCTGCTTCTCCCTCTGCCTGTGTCTCTGCCTCTCTCTCTCTGTGTCTCTCATGAATAAATAAGTAAAATCTTTTTAAAAAATAAATTTAAAATAAGTCATTTAATATTTCTGACCCTCAGTCTCCTTAATCAATTGAGGCTAATAATATGCCTGTCTTCATGGCTTTGCCGTCAGGAGGAACGATGAGATATTTTGGGTGAAAAATTCCTGGTTAATTATAAAGCATTTCTCAAATATAAAGAGGTGTAATTGTTTATTACGTATTATAGAATCTTAAAATTATGTATTCTATCCGCTTTATAAAATTCACCTCCTCTCTCCCTGCTCTCTCTCTCTCAAATAAATAAATAAAATATTTTTAAAAATTTTAAAAATTAAAAAAGGGGTGCCTGAGTGGCTCAGTCAGTTAAGTATCTGCCTTTGGCTCAGGTCATGATGCCAGGGTCCTGGGATCCAGCCCTGCACTGGGCTCCCTGCTCAGCGGGGAGTCTGCTTCTCCTTCTCCTGCTTCCTCTGTGCTCTCTCTCTCTCAAATAAATAAATAAAATCTTGACAAATAAATAAATAATAAAATCTACCTCTTTAACATCCATTTCAGAAAGGCATAAAAAATTGCAAGTGTTGATATTATTAAACAATGTGAAAATGATTAAGGAATAGAACTGACCATTTCATACCCATTAGGATGGCTGTTAACCTGAAAATCGAAAATAACACGTATTGGTGAGGAAATGGAGAAACTGGAACCCTAAAGCACTGATGGCGGGAATACAAAATAGCAGAGCTGCTATGAAAATGGGATGACAGTTCCTCAAAAAATTGAACATAGAATGACTACATGATTTAGCAACTCCACTTCCAGGTGCATACTCAAAAGAATCGAAGGCCTCAAGCAGATATTTGTACACCCATGTTCACAGCAGCATTATTCACAGTAGCTAAAGGTAGAAGCCACTCAAGTATCCAACCACAGATGAATGGATAAACAAAACATGGCATATACACCCAGTGGAATGTTATGCAAAGTGAAATAAGCCAGTGTCATAAAAAGACAAATCTCATACGATTCTATTTGTATTTGGTATCTAGAGTATTCATCTTCATGAAACCAGAAGGTAGAACGGTGGTTGTCAGGGCTGAGGGGGAGGAGGAAATGAGGTATTGTTTCATAGGTATAGAGTTTCAGTTCTGCAAGATAAAGTGAGTTTTAGAGATGGGCTGCAAAACAAAACAACATAAGTGTACTTAACACCACTGAACACTTAGAAATGGTTCAGATGGCAAATTTTGTTATGTATATTTTTACCACAATTTTTAAAATTATATGTATAATTTTGTATATATTCCTTTTTTAAAAAAAGGAAGGATATGCTATCACATGGGTGGGTTGAACCTTGAAGACATTACATGGAAATGAAATTAGCTCATCACGAAAAGTATAAATCCTGTATCACTCCACCTCTATGAGGATGTTGGAGAAGTCAAATTCATAGAGACAAGAAAACACAACGCAGTTGCCAGGTGCAGGCACAAAGAAGGGGGTCATTGTGTACTGGGGTACATAGTATGCATTTGGGAAGATGGAAAAGTTCTGGGGATGGATGGTGGTCGTGGCCGGCAACAGTGTGAACGTAATACCACTGAAATACCACTGAACTGTACGCTGAGAAATGGTTAAAAGGGTCAATTTTATGTTATATCATAGACAATTTAAAAGGTAAAAATAAATACATTTTTCAAGAAAGAGTACTGAGGGGCAGCCCCGGTGGCGCAGCGGTTTGGCGCCGCCTGCAGCCTGGGGCATGATCCTGGAGACCCGGGATCGAGTCCCACGTTGGGCTCCCTGCATGGAGCCTGCTTCTCCCTCTGCCTGTGTCTCTGCCTCTCTCCCTGTCTCTCTCTCTGTGTTGCTCATGAATAAATAAATAAAATCTTAAAAAAAAAGAAATAGTACTGAAGACTGCGAATTAAATTGTGTATAGTTTTGCATTAATGCTAGATTTCCTGTATTATTTGTATTGTCGTTATGGAAGAGGGTGGCCTTGTTTTATTAAGGAAGTGCATGTTTATATATAGAGATGTGGAGGTATGACTGCATACCTCAAATGCTCTAACCACAAAAATGTTATGTGTGTGTGTGTATCAGTGTGGATATGTGTACAGATACTGAGAGAAACTGACAAAACAATAGCAACAAAATGTTATTGGGACAAAATGTTAACAGCTGGTGGGGGGGAAAAAAGCTTTATGATTAACTTTTAGAAAAATTATAAACATTTTAACAAATTGGGGTAAGTGGATTGTGCTTAGCATGAAAATCAAATTGCAAAATTGCATACATACTGTGATTATAATTAAGTAAAAATTACGTATCCATAGAGACAAGGTCTGCAAGCAAAAAATAGCTTGACATGGGGAGGTAGAAGGATTACAGGTAAAGATACACTTCCCTTGTGATTTCTGTTTATTTCTGTTTCTTCTGTTAATGAAAAAGGAGAAAGCATGTACCTCTGTACCCGGAGTGTTTCTTTCGGCTGTGCTTGTTGTTGAAGATGTCCTGGATGTTCTGAACCACGCTGGGGCTCAGGCCGTGCTCCCTCATGATCGCCAGCACCCTTCTATCCATCAGGTTATGGGACCTGAGGCAGTTGGCATACCCACAATTCCCTCGGGTAAAGTGCTCACAGATGTGGAGCCTTTCACACTGTGGATACTTGTCACAAATAACTCTTCGACCCTCTCCCTTATAATTCTTGCATATCTGCAGAAGAGAGAAACAGAGACAACTATGTTGCCAGAGACAATACACCTTCCCGCACCTGCCACATATTCACTAGGGAAAGCCTAAGTATACAAAAAAGTTAGCTGTAAGCAGAGATCTACTGAAGGAAAAAAATATATGTGTCTTCCACAACCTGTGATGAGTTGTATTCAACTGATTTTTTTTTAAGATTTTATTTATTGGGATCCCTGGGTGGCGCAGCGGTTTGGCGCCTGCCTTTGGCCCAGGGCGCGATCCTGGAGACCCAGGATCGAATCCCACATTGGGCTCCCGGTGCATGGAGCCTGCTTCTCCCTCTGCCTGTGTCTCTGCCTCTCTCTCTCTCTCTATCATAAAAAAAATAATAAAATAATAATAATAATAATAAAAGATTTTATTTATTTATTCATGAGAGACAGAGACACAGGCAGAGGGAGAAGCAGGCTCCATGCAGGGAGCCTGATGCAGGACTTGATCCCAGGATTCCAGGATCATGCCCTGGGCCAAAGGCAGACGCTAAACCACAGAGCCACCCAGGCATCCCGTATTCAACTGACAATTTATTTGCAGTAGAAGAGGCCTGCAAACTAACTGAAACATGAATTTAATAACTCTTTGGAAGAATTAAAATAAGATGGCCATGGCCAGCCACAGATAGGACCAAATAGGACCCAAAGGGAGCCCTATGTTACAAAGGAACCCCAAGGAGGAAGACTATCAAGTCATTTTGCAATTAAAGGGACATGTGAAGGGCACCTGGCTGGCTCGGATGGTGGAGCATGTGTCTCTTGATCTGGGGGTTGTGAGTTCAAGTCACACATTGGGTGGAGAGAGGACTTAAAAATAAAAGCTTCGAAAAAGGGGCGCCTGGGTGGCTGTCAGTTAGATATCTGCCTTCAGCTTAGGTCATGATCCTAGGTCCTGGGATAGAGCCCTGTATCAGGGCTCCCTGCTCAGTGGGGAGCCTGCCTCTCCTTCTCCCTCTGCCTCTCTACCTCGTGATTTCTCTCTCTCATGAATAAATAAAATCTTAAAAAAAAAAAAAAGCTTCAAAAAAAAAAGGGGGGACATGTGGGTCTTACCGCAACCGTTGTCTCTGCTAGGCAAAACATGACAAAGTCTCTTAAAAGGTCAACTAAAGAAGGTAATTTTCATATTCCTATGTAAATAGATATATCTACCCAGCTAGCTCTGCAGACATAGAGTCCTTGCTGAAAAGAAGGCATAAGTTGGGGGCCTGGGTGGCTCAGTCGGGTAAGCGGCTGCCTTCAACTTAGGTCATGATCCCAGGATCCTGGGATCTAGCCCCACCATGGGCTCCCTGCTCCATGGGGAGCCCGCTTCTCCCTCTCCCTCTGCCTGCATGCTGCCACTCCCCCTGCTTGTGTGCTCTCCCTCTCTCTTTCTCTCTATGTAAAATAAATAAATAAAATATTAAAAAAAAGGCATAAGTATTTCTTACTGGAATACTGTCCCAGAGGCCAGACCATATGATTTTAAAGTCCACAGGCACAGAACCAGCTGTGGGGACCTCACCTGAATTATTACTCCCAGTCTCTGTTTCCTTCACTGTGAAGGAGGAAAATAGTTGCTCTGTCCACATAACCCAAGTTATTGAGCAGATTAAATAATAAAATATGTAAATACATTGTGTAAAATATAAAATGTGCTACAAATGTTTGAATCACTACATAAAAGAATCCTAAAGATCAAAACACGTATACATTGTTTCAACATACTGGGTACATCAGATCCGCCTGGTTCACTGTGATTTCTCTGGGTGGCAATGACATGAGAATCAGACTCCAGCAATGACAATTTAGGTACACCCTAACCCTAACCCTAACCCTAACCCTAACCCTAATGAGAATCAGACTCCAGCAAAGACAATTTAGGTACACAGACGACTTCGAAAACCTGATTCAAACAGGCATCATTGCCATGAAGCCTACTATACAGATTCTAGGCTCTAGAACCACCAGGGCTCAAAGTGTGATTCCTGGGGGCACCTAAGTGGCCCAGGTCATGATCTCAGGGTCCTGAGATCGAGCCCTGCATCCCATCCTTCCCCCAGCTTGGGCTCTCTCTCTTTCAAAAAAATAAATAATCTTTAAAAAACAAAAAGAAAGCCAAAAAACCAAAAACAACAACAAAGTGTGGTCCCTGGACTGGCAGGGTCAACTCCACCTGGAAACTTATCAGAAATGCAAATCCAGGGCAGCCCCGGTGGCTCAGCAGTTTAGCACCGCCTTCAGCCAGGGCGTGATCCTGGAGTCCTGGGATCCAGACTCACATCCGGCTCCCTGCATGGAGCCTGCTTCTCCCTCTGCCTGTGTCTCTGCCTCTCTCTATATATCTCTCATGAATAAATTAAAAAAGAAAGAAAGAAAGAAAGAAAGAAGAAAGAAAGAAAGAAAGAAAGAAAGAAAGAAAGAAAGAAAGAAAGAAAGAAAGAAAGAAAGACATGCAAATCCTCAGACCCTTCTCCATATACAGTCAGAACCCCCAGAGGTGGGACCCAGCACTCTGGTTCAACAAACCCTCTAGGTGATTCTGATGCTCACTAAAGTTCCAGAACCAAGGCCCTGGGAGAAGAAGAATAATTAGCGGCTTCACAAATGACACTCTGGTTAACAATCCTAGGACTGTCCTAATGAATAAGTAAGAGTGCTCCTGCCTTTATTAGGCTAGAGCAAATGACAGCATTTCTACCTTTAATAAGCACATTTAAATTTTACAAGCTTATAAACCAAGAAGTCTGGTTTGCCTGATGCTTTTATGTTCTCACAGGTCAAGGCAAAGTGAAAAAGTGAGGACACTTTCAGGTGTTAGGGCAGGAATGTGTCTTGTCCACAGCTGCCCTCAGGATTTAACTCCATGCCTACCACCTGCAGGCACTCCTAAATGTTAGCTGAACGAATGTAAAACATCAAATGAAGTGAGACACAGGATTACATGCTTTGTCTGTGATCACAGAAGTAGTTGGTAGCGGAATCAGGACTTTTTTTTTTTTAAGATTTTATTTATTTATTCATGAGAGACACACAGAGAGGCGGAGACACAGGCAGAGGGAGAAACAGGCTCCCTGCAGGGAGCCGGATGTGGGACTCAATCCCAGGACCCCAGGATCATGCCCTGGCCCGAAGGCAGGCGCCAAACCACTGAGCCACCCAGGGATCCCCTGAGACACCCCTTTAGAGACTTCCCTTGCCCAGCCTTTTCAAATACACATCCATGCTACCAATGCTCTTGTTGATTTTCCACTATAGGAACCAGCTCCTCAGACCTCTAGTCCGGTAAACATTGCAGTCTCCCCATCTACAATCTCAGCCCTGACAAGTGGTAAATTGCAAACAAGCTATTAGCTAAAAAGTAAACCAGGCATGGACCTCCCCACCCCACTCACTAATTCTGAGTACTCAATTCTTACAACGAAAAGGCACTCTCTTCTTTGGACTCTCTACGTGGTAAAAGGATGGTAAGAGGGCCCTCACAGAGATTTTGTTAATAGGTTCTTCTAGGATCCCTCAGCAACAGCAACGTCTAGTAGGTTCTTTTTATTTTTTAAGATTTCACTTATTTATTCATGGTATCTCTTCCATTCTCTGGGAAGCAGGTCAGCAATTAAGAACCTACTAGATTCGGGCACCTAGGTGGCTCAGTGGTTGAGCCTCTGCCTTTGGCTCAGGTAATGATCCCGGGAGTCCTACTAGGGAGGCTGCTTCGCCCTCTGCCTATGTCTCTGCCTCTCTCTCTCTCTGTGTCTCTCATGATTAAATAAATAATATCTTAAAAAAAAAAAAAAAGACCATCTCCTTCCAGGAAGCTACTTAGATGTAAAGCATCAACTAGTTCTAATACTGTATCTTCAGATCACCTCAAATGGGAAGGAAATTGCTGGAATCAATAGGTCACTTAGCAACAGCCACCTGTTGATTGCTATCTGCAGAGCCTGGTGGTGATTTTGAGTCTTTTGTGGTTCTATTCCAACCCATCCATGACACAACACTGCCAATAATATTGTCTCTGTGGCTTATAACGAAGGAATCACAACTTACCTCAGGCAAAAAAAAAGGGTCACTTTGGATGAGGAGCACTGCTAATTCCTCTTTGTTCAGTCCAGAGAGCTCATGGTTTTTCAGGACCTTGAAGTTCTCTTCTGAGAGAACCTCATGAGAATATTTGCACAAATTCCTGGAAGAAAACAACAATTGTCAGTGTTTCCACTTCACAGAAGTAAAGAAAAACAAATCATTTGGGCCCACATCCTTTGGTATGGAATCCTGCCTAAAGAAGACACTTTAAAAATATAAATTGATGAAACACCTAATGGGCATACAGGAATTGTTTTTAATGATTTTATTTGTTTATTTATTTGAGACAGAGTGCGCACACATTGTGGGCAAGCAGCGAGCAGGCTCTCCACTGAGCACGGAGCCCTATGCAGAGGGCTCAATTCCACAACCCCGAAATCACAGCTTGAGCTGATACCAAGAGTTGGACATTCAACTGAATGAGCCAAGCAAGTGTCCCTGGGGATGGGTTTTTTTTTCCCACAAATTATACACATCTATATTTTAAATTGTTGCAATACTTCTTTAAACAGTATCTCCTCTAGTATACATTACTAAAGGGAAAAAAACTGGTGAAATAAATTTATTGGAAATGATTGCCCACTGAGGGACAAAGAATAATTAGGATAATACATCTATGGACTTGGGGCACCTCGCTGGCTCAGTGCATAGGGTATGTGACTCTTGATTTCAGACTTGTGAGTTCAAGCCCAATGTCAGGTGCAGGGATTACCTAAAAATAATTTTTTTTTCTAAAAATAAAATCTTTAAAAAAAAACATGCATCTGTGGACTGAAAATAAAGGTCGATGGGAAAAGAGACTTCATTTATCAAATGTTTTAATGATACAAAAGTATTCATTGCCTTATTTCTATATCTTATATACCAATGTATACCTATATGATCTGTGACTAGAAAGGAATGGAATGAGCTCTTAGTTGTATCTTTCAAACAACTCTACAGAAAAAGATAATAATGCCTTCCTTTTAAGACATTGATGATCTAGGTCCACACTGTCCAAGAGAACACACTCTATGATGATGGAATTGTTCTATAATCTGAACTTGCCAAATATGGCCACCAAGTACCTGAAATATAGCTAGTAAGACTTAAGAAATAATTTTCTATTTTACTTTTTTAAGTTAATAAATTTAAATTTCAATAGCCACCCATGACTAGTGGCTACCATCTGGATGGCAGAGACCTAGGTCTCCTGTATCCAAAGTATAGTGGGATAACCTATCGCATCACCATCACCTCTCTGGGAGCTTGTCAGAAATTTAGAGTTTCAGGCCCTAGCCTGGTTATACTGAATCAAAATCTGCCATTCAGCAACATCCCCCAATGACTTAATGACATTAAGGTCCAAGAAGCACTGATTTAGATCACTGAGAAACCGTGATAGCAATGTTGTTTTCATTAGGCAAATGTAATTTGGCAGTTACCAGAGTCCACATAACAAACTCATTCCATTCTTTAACTTATGTATGCTACCTACAATTATTGCCAAAGTCCTCAGATTTATGGTTTTAGTGGTTATTAATATGATGGGATATTAATACTTTCTAGTTTGTACAACCATCATCAAATTATAAGGTGGTTAGGTAATGGCCGGATTTTCACTACATAGGTAGCATGGCTACGATCGCCTTTCTACAAATAACCTTCCATCTTTTACAATATTTTCCTGAGATTTATTCCTTTGGGAGTATTGCCTCAAAGAACAGTAATTTTCTTGGCAGCTTGTTTCATTTTTGATCTACTGCTCTCCAGGAAACATACCAGCAATCTGAGTGTGTCTATTTCCCTGCAAACACATTAAAAAGGAGTTTTATCACTTTTGCTACTTCAGTAGGTAAAAAATAGACTTATGCTTTTAATTTGCACTTAATTTATTAACAAGACTGAAATATTCCCAAATGTTAGCTTGATGCTGAATTTCCCTACTTACTCCTTAGGTTCTCCTTACATCTTTACTATTTGTTCACATTCTTTAACTGTTTACCTATAGTAGAGAATGGTTACTGACAGATTTATAGTTGTTCTTTATACTTTCATTATTTTTTAAAATTTTATTTATTTATTTGAAAGGGAGAGAGCACAAGCTGGGGGGGGGGGCAGTGGTGGAGCAGCAGAGGGAGAGGGAGAAGCAGGCTCCCCGCTGAGCAGGGAGCCTGATCCAGAGTTTGACCCCAGCAGGATCATGACCTGAGCTGAAGGCAGATGTCTTACTGCCTGAGCCACCCAGGTACTCCTGTCTTTAAACTTTTAAAAATTAATCATTACCAGCCTTATTTATTTCAAGTAGTTTTGCATTTTTTCCCCTCTCTACTGAGAACTTTAATTAATTTGCTGTTGCTGAATTTCTTTTTCTTTTTTTTTTTTTTTAAGATTTTATTCATGAGGGATCCCTAGGTGGTGCAGCAGTTTGGCGCCTGCCTTTGGCCCAGGGCACGATCCTGGAGACCCGGGATCGAGTTCCACATCGGGCTCCCGGTGCATGGGGCCTGCTTCTTCCTCTGCCTGTGTCTCTGCCTCTCTTTCTCTCTCATGAATAAAATCTTTTTTTTTTTTTTTTTTTTTTTTTTTTATGATAGTCACAGAGAGACAGAGAGGCAGAGACACAGGCAGAGGGAGAAGCAGGCCCCATGCAGGGAGCCCGAGGTGGGACTTGATCCTGGGTCTCCAGGATCACGCTCTGGGTGGAAGGCGCTAAACCGCTGAGCCACCCGGGCTGCCCATTGTTGCTGAATTTCTATATAATCAGACCCTTCCAATCTGCCTTTCAATTCATTCACCATAGTGGGATAACTATAGTAGACCATTCTGTTTCACTTATAAAAGAGATATCTTCAGCTTTAATTCTTTAAAACATCTGGAGCTTATCATGACAAGTAGTGTCAGAAAGGGACAGAAATGCTTTACATCAACTTTTCTTTTTTTTTTAATTTTTATTTATTTATGATAGTCACAGAGAGAGAGAGGCAGAGACACAGGCAGAGGGAGAAGCAGGCTCCATGCACCGGGAGCCCGATGTGGGATTCGATCCCGGGTCTCCAGGATCGCGCCCTGGGCCAAAGGCAGGCGCCAAACCGCTGCGCCACCCAGGGATCCCCATCAACTTTTCTCAATAACAATTCTATTTTTTTTAAGAAGGGAAGGAAGAAAGGGGAGGGGCAGAGGGAGAGAGAGAGAGAGAGAGAGAGAGAATCGTAAGCAGGCTCCATGCCCAGTGCAGAGCCCGCCTCAGGGCTCAGTCTTACAACCCTGAGATCATGACCTGAACCAAAATCAAGAGTCGGACACTTAGCTGACTGAGCCACCCAGGCGCCCCTCAATAATAATTCTATTAAATAGGATTCTTTTCTTTTTATTCTGTTATCCTGGACTATTTTATGATAATGTTGTAAAAGATTTAGAACTGTCACAATCTCTATTGTGATTTTATCAATCTACTGTTCTGCTTTGAATCTAATACAACTTAAATCTCCTTTGCACAATATTTTAAATATTAACAGAGTAATTTGTCACATCACTGGTTTGCTCCTTTTCCAAAAACTCTTTAGTGTGCTTACCTATCATTTTCTCTATAGAAATTATTGTGGTTTTGTCAATTTCCAGGAAAATATCATATTGAGAATCTAATTTATGTTAACTCCAGAAGTTAGATCAGATATTATGTCATCTTAAGTTCATTAATTAATCTTCTGATTCTGGAACAGAAACTCTCTCTCCATTTATTCAAGTTCTATTTTCCTTATAGAGAATTAAAATCTTTCTTTTCTTTTTTTAAGATTATTTATTAATTATTTATTTATTCATGAGAGACACAGACAGAAAGAGAGAGGCAGAGACACAGGCAGAGGGAGAAGCAGGCTCCAGCAGGGAGCCTGATGTGGGACTCAATTCCAGGTCCCCAGGATCAGGCCCTGGGCCAAAGAGAGTGCTAAACCGCTGAGCCACCCAGGCTGCCCAAAATCTTCCTTTTAATGGTTTTCTTTCATTTCCAAAATATTAAACATTTATCTGTTGCCACTATTTTTTAGTTGTTTGTTACTAATAAGCAGAAATGCAAACAACTTTGCAAAATTATCTTACTGAAGCTGAAAATGTTTTTAATGTAAACATCTAGATAAAAGTCTTTCTCCACGAATTAATCTTTACAAGTCATTTACTCTGGGCACCCGGCTGGCTCAGTCAGTAGAGTATGCAACTCTTGATGAGTTTGAGCCCCGCACTGGGTGCAGAGATTACTTTTTTTTTTTTAATTTATGATAGTCACAGAGAGAGAGAGAGAGAGAGAGAGAGAGAGAGAGGCAGAGACACAGGCAGAGGGAGAAGCAGGCTCCAGGCACCGGGAGCCTGACGTGGGATTCGATCCCGGGTCTCCAGGATCACGCCCTGGGCCAAAGGCAGGCGCTAAACCGCTGCGCCACCCAGGGATCCCCAGAGATTACTTTTAAAAAATAGAAGCCGCTATTCAAATGCTGCTTGTGTATAAGACATTTCTGAAACCCTCTGGAATTGCCTTCAGATCTAGCTGTGGAACCTCCTAAAAATTTTTAAAAATCACAGAATCAAAAAAAAAAAATCACGGAATCAACGACTGTGTCTGCTACCATCTGAGCCCTTAAACCCCAACCAGCTCTCCCTTGCACTTTGCTTCATAGAGAGAGAAGTCATGGGCCACTGGTCAGGCTCTGGTAACAGCCATTTCCTCAGGCGGGCCCTTTCCTCAGGCGGGCCCTTCTAGGTAGGTCTCTGGCACTCCTGGATAAAGCTGACTTCAGCTCTCTCAGCTGGTTTTGGGGTTCTGTGATCCCATAACTGCTCCCAACAGTCTCCACCCCCCCCCCCCAGAGCCCTCAGCAGCTGGGCTAGACTCCACCCTAACACTCCTCCCACCGTGGGGAGAATCTCAAGAGAACTTACAGCAGGGGGAGGGCTCAGCCTCTGGCCCAGGCCCCCCCATCGCCAGATGAATGTGAGACCTCTTAACTATAAGGCCTCTCACTCCACTGGCCAGTGCCAACAATGATCCCCTTGCCCTGGAGCTGACAATAACCTCGTTGAAACAAACACCCCCCTGCGAGGCAGGTTCCACCTCTGTCTCAGAGATAC